GCCAAGGTACCTACTGCACCATCTCAGGGTAAGAATAATAGTTACTAGTTTCCAGAGCACCAGGGAAAGCAGTGCAATCCGAGAACTGTGAGCCTTTGAATCAGCCAGCCCTATTGACCATTAGGGAGAGACCGGGGGATGGAGAGATGTTTTTAGTGTCATCTACAGTTTCAGTTCCAGTACAGTTAGAGTTAGGGATGTTCTTTGGCTTTGGTCCCGTATCAGCAGACTGTTCGTGCTAGCAGAGGTGAATTTTCTGGCTCTGAATCGGGGTCGAACCTGATTCCCCTTTTCCTATTGAGGAGGAGCAGGACCGTATTATGGATTGACAAATTGCACAAAAAACACTCAGCCTTTATGAGTTCTGGAGTAGGCAATCTACCTCTTCCAACAGGTTTGCCTCTTTTGTTTGCATAGTGACGATCTCCCAGACACCAGATGCCACCTTATCTGGATCAATTTCCTTACCACCCCTGGCAAGAGATAGGTCGGGGAAAGCGGGGCTTCGGCTCAAGTGATTTCTTAGCTTGTTTCTATCCCAATTCCAATGATAGGGAGTTGGAATATTAGAGGCCTTAACGGCTTCTCGAAACAACGCGCTGTGCGGAATTGGATTTCTGACTCTTCTTTGTGTTTGATTGGTTTGTCAGAGACTAAGGTTGAGCAGTCTCCATTTACAGTCAGTGGTCTCGTCTGTTTGTCCTCGTGGCGTTTAATCGAATGCAACGGATTCTATTGCTTGCCGTGTTTCTGGTATGTTGGGACTCTTCTCTTTACTCTGTGCATAGTCTTCATTGCTCTCTTCAGGAGATTACTTGCAGGGTTACTCATGTTTCTGAGGGGTTCTCATTTGGGATTACTTTTGTGTATGGTTCTAATGACCCTGGGAATCGCCGCAATCTGTGGGATTTCCTTAGGGCTCAGTCGGCAGTGTTGATTCAGAGGGGCTCCCATGGCTTGTGTTGGTGATTTTAATGCCATCTTGGGAGCCTCTGACAGAGTGGGTGGTGATCCTGAGTGGTATGGTTATATGGATGATTTGGCCAATGTTCCATGATGCTGATTTGATTGGGGTTCCTTTTACTGGGCTTCGGTATCTTGGCATAACGGTCAACAGGGCGATGGGTTTATTTTACGGAAGCTCGATTGGGTCTTTGCATCACTTCTTGGTTCCTTGATCGACCAAGCACAGTTTCAGAGTTCCGACCTCGAGATGTTCATATCATAGCTCTATTATCGTCCGTTTGGTCCTTGCCGTGGCAAGGTACCATCCCCTTGAAATTTCTAATTTTTGGCTGATCATGCAAATTTAGGGATATTGTTTAGGCAGTTTGGATGAGCCTATTGTAGGCAATCCTATGTTCCGTCTTACGCAGATATTGGGGTTAGTGTAACGGAAGCTAAAAGCTTTACATATAGGGTTTCCAGTCATATCTCCAGCAGGGTAATTGAGGCCGTCTCGGTGGGCAGCAGCCCAGGAAATTTGGATCGGGACCCCTTTCTACTGAGTGTATCTCTGGAAGAGGAACCTTGCCAACCAGTATTTCATCTTTGTCGAGATAAGGAGGCTTTCTTTAAGCAGCGTCTCGTGTTCAGTGGTTGCACTTAGGGATCAGAATACTAAGTTCTTTCATAAGTCGTTGATCCATAGGCAGGTTCGGAACCGCATCCACGGTTTGACTGACGGGAATGGTAACACATATTACTGACAGTCAGGGTTTAGGGCGTTTGCGGTGGGTTTTTTCAGGATCTTCTACTGCCCCTAGTCGACCTCATTGCAGAGGCTTCTAGGTATTTTTCTTCTGGCCGCATTTCTCCTGATGATTTTCTCCATTGACTGCTCCTATCACTGATGATGAGATTAGGATTGCTTTATTCTCTATCCCGGATGATAAATCCCCCACCCGATGGATTCACATCTTTGTTTTTTAAGCGCATGGGATATTATTGGTACAGATTTCAGGGATGCATGAGACATTTTTTTGCTACTAATGAAATGCCAAGATGTGTTAATGCCACCAGGATTGCTTTGGTTCTAAGTGGAGAGCCCGAGTCGTATGACAGACTTTAGCCTATATCTTGTTGAATGTACTTTACATGTGCATTACTAAGGTGATTGTGAATCGGTTTAAAGTTGTACTTCCGGATATTATTGGGGTTTCCCAGTCAGCTTTTGTCCCGGGTCGAGGATTTCTGTATATTCTGCTGACTCAGGAGCTTTTGCGGAATTATCATCTTGGGGTACTTCACCTCGATGTGCCTTTAAAGTTGATATTCGGAAAGCTTTTGATACTATAGTTTGGGAGTTCATCCTTTGGGATTGCGTACTGTGGGTTTTCCTGAGCGTATGTGAGGTGGATCATGACAGTATTTCTACACTGTATTTCTCTGTTGCCCTGAACGGAGAGCTTCCACGATTTTTTAGGTCCTCGGGTGTGGCGACAGGGGGACCCTCTTTCTCCTTAACCTTTTGTGTTGGCTATGGGGGGTTAGCTGTATTTTTCGGGAAACCTCTCACAGCCCTGGTTTTCAGTATCATTGGAGATGTAGGCAGGCAGCTATTACTCATTTGTTTTTGCAGATGATTGATGGTGTTTTGTAGAGCAATGCTTCCTCTGTTAGCTTGATCAAATCGCTTGGATTATTTTGCTAAGATTTCTGGGTAGTGACTAATGCAGAGAAAAGCCAGTTGTTTCTTTCTGGAGTTACAGATGAGGAGCAGATTGGGTTACAGTCTATCATGGGTTTCTAGTTGGGCCAGTTACCGTAAGATATCTAGGGGTTCCTCTAATCTCTACCCGCCTTCGACACTCGATTGTAGGCCTCTGTTGGAGTGAATTCTCTCTTCGGATTAGGCTATAGACGTCAGCATCTTTGACCTATGCAGGCCGACTACAGTTGATAAAGTCGATACTTTTCTCATACAGGTTTATTGGTCCTCCATGTTCTTTTTGCCGGCAGCTACAGTTAGACGATTGAGAGTATTTTTGGCCTCATTTCTTTGGAAGGGTACTTCTCTGTTCCCATTCTGGTGCTAGGGTTGCATGGTCTTCTGTTGCGCTACCATTGACGGAGGTGGCCTGGGGATTAAGAGGATCCAGATTGGAATAGGGCGGCTATTCTCAAACACTTTTGGAGGCTACTTACTGATAAATCTTCTATATGGTCTTCTTGGGCCATTCGGTTCTCCCCGTGGTCGGTCCTTTTGGCATATCCGAGTTACTTCTGGGGCTTCATGGGCTTGGAGGAAGATTTTACTTACAGGTTTTGGTGCCGGGGTCTTATTGCGACTTGTATTGGAGATGTAGGGCACCATGTTATGGCGAGATCACTGGCTTCCGCGGGTCCCTGTGTGACTTGTTCCCTTTTAAACCTTGACTTCCACTGGGTTACCGTGTTGCTCGGGTTTCAGACATTATTCGGGATGGTTTGTGGGACTTTCCTTCGGGCATTCAGACCTTCAGCATATCTGGACTCTATTACAGTGCAGCCTTCAGCGGTCATCCTGACCATCTGTGTGGAAGGGCCATCCATCTGGACGGTTCTCTATTGATTCAGCCTGGAAGTATTGCGAGACAAACGAGATGTGAACTCGATTCATCATCTCTTGTGGTTTCCCGGGCTATTCCACGTCACTCTTTCATTCTCTGGCTCGCTTCTATTGGTTGGCTTCACCACATGGATCGGCTCAGCTCTCATGGTGTCTTACGTCCTCCCGATGTGTTTTGTGCAATCACTACAGAGACCCATGACCATTTGTTTTTCAGCTGTGACTTTTCCAGTTATGTTTGGCAGGAGGTCACAACCAGACGCTTTCTACATGGCCTACTCTCTCCTGGCTCCCTCTGCTTCAGTGGGCTAGTTTGCATCTTCGACGAAAAGGTGACTTCAGCCACCTTCTTTCCCGGTTAGTCTTTTCAGCCACAGTTTATTTCCTTGTGGTTTGAACGGAATAATCCGTGTTTCGTCGCATTGTAGCTCCCATAGAGATATTGTCTTAGCTATTTGTGATCTAGTTCGATCAAGATTTTGTGTCTAGCACCTAAGTAAGATCTCACCTCAGCTCCGTGTGATATGGCATCTTCCTGACTAGCTTTGTAAGGAACCTGCATGCTCTTTTGTGTCGGTTTGGACTTTGTGTTTGTGGTGAGCCTGCGTGCTCTTTATGCCGGTTTGTGGCTTTTTTTTATGGCATCTTCTTGCTTTGTGGGAGCCTGCATGCTCTCTGTTGCTGTTCATGACTTTGTGGGTTTCCCACGAGTTCTTGACTGACAGTTTCAGTCATCCTCTTAGGGTATGCCCCTCGTATTTGTATATTTTGTCTTTTATACATTTACCTTATCCAAAAAAAACGATGATCGATAAGTACAATAACTCAACTCCCAACATGAAAGTTCCTCTAGCGACTGGTGATTGGAATGGCAAGTATTTCATGAGCCATCGTAGATAAAATGGGATAGTTTATTGATTTACCTTTCACCACTGTAACGCATCAAATGAGGTATTATCATACCTATAACAAACATTTCTCCCTCTAGTATCGATCTAACTTAGATTTCTCATGTTGCACCGTTGGAGTTGTCCTAACAAACTGCAGAACCGTGAACTAGTACTTTTTAGGGCGTTGTACATTGTCCCGTTGAACTTTACTGATTTCTACAGGTGGTTCACTGTTGGAGATTGACTTTCTGCTACTATATCCTCATAAATCTCATACAAGACACTTGCACTTCATCAATTTTGCCTTGTGCTTCTATCGGATACATTTGTGGTAGGCAAATTGCAGCAGCCTATTTTCATCCTCGATCCAATACATTGCAATTGCCATTACAATTGCATTCCCCAATACTTGTCAAACTTTTCTTTCATCTTTCCCACCATTGACCGAATAAAATCATCATCATCAAACGTTTTCATCTAGCAACTTCTTTTATGTCAACAATTTCTTGCAAAAATAAGTTAGAAGTAGGGTACTCACTCCTCCGATATGACATTAGTTGTGAAAGTTCTTCCGTGAAAGTCGTTTAACACCTGTCAACAAGTTTATGAAAAATTAAACTCTAAATCCTATTTGTTAGTCTAATCCTCTGTTTTCCAAAGTTCCAGAGTTTGTACAAGTACACAATTAAACCAAAATGTGCATAAGTCTTATAACAAATTTTTGAAAACAGATTGTAAATCAACCTAGATCATAAGAACAAAGAAAATCAAACAGATTGTACACAATTAGAGATTTATCTTGGATGCATTTTCTGGCTCTTGATACTAGCGAATTTTTAAATTTGAAGTTAATGTCGGTGCCAGTGCAGTTGAGAATACTAGCTTTGACAGCAACACCAGCAGACTATTTAGCATATTATTGATAACTTACATATATCAACACTAGAATATCACAATGAAAGTGATGATGATGTCAGCCCATATGTTCACAATAGGAATACAGAATTGATTCAGGTGTATACTGGTTTGTTTACCTAAAAAGCGTTTCCATGCAACTATGTTTTCTAAATGTGCAGTACTGATAGGTTCCAATTGGACAAGAGGCTGCAGAGATAAATAACTAGAACTTGTTTGGTGGTAATGAGACAGCAGCCAAATGTAAACAATTTAAACAAGATAGCTAGATAGGGAGCCAAATATGTAAATCAATTAGACAAAAACCAAATAATTTGAGAAGTATAACATTTACTATCACTAACCTGTCACGATTCCACCAAAACTTCATAGGATCAGAAGCTGAAACTCCTCATTTTTCTTCTCTTTCTAAACAACAAAGAAGAAAACCAATTGTTTTAGTTTAAATAATGTTAATAAACGACCAAGTAATGCCATAATTTTAATAAATTGGACTATGGAAGTATGAAACTTACTTTGTAACTTTTCTTGACTCCATAGAGATTGCGACACCGATCACCACCACAAAGTGCTGCCAGCCTTCCGGGAATTCGAGAAAATCTTTATGGATTGGGGATTTGGAGCCATGGATGGATGACAAGTACTTTTTATCCGTTTTCTCAAATGTGGCAATTCAAGGAGCCAAGGTTTTTCATCACAAAAACTCTTCCTTTGGTTTTCTTGACTTTGATTCTAATGATACTGCAGGTTTGTCTTTGCAATCGTTTAATGGCTTAAAAATGCCGAAGTCTAAAAAGGTCTTCAAGCTCAATTGGGCATCTTCTGAGCCNTACTTACTGATAGATCTTCTATATGGTCTTCATGGGCCCATTCGGTTCTCCTCCGTGGTCGGTCCTTTTGGCATATCCGAGTTACTTCTGGGGCTTCATGGGCTTGGAGGAAGATTTTACTTAGTAGGGTTTGGTGCCGGGGTCTTATTGTGACTTGTATTGGAGATGGTAGGGACACCATGTTATGGCGAGATCACTGGCTTCCGCAGGGTCCTCTGTGTGACTTGTTCCCTTTTAGAACCTTGACTTCCACTGGGTTACCGTGGGATGCTCGGGTTTCAGACATTATTCGGGATGGTTTGTGGGACTTTCCTTCGGGCAGTTCAGACCTTCAGCATATCTGGGACTCTATTACAGTGCAGCCTTCAGCGAGTCATCCTGACCATCTTGTGTGGAAGGGCCATCCATCTGGACGGTTCTCTATTGATTCAGCCTGGAATGTATTGCGAGACAAACGAGATGTGAACTCGATTCATCATCTCTTGTGGTTTCCCGGGCATATTCCACGTCACTCTTTCATTCTCTGGCTCGCTTCTATTGGTTGGCTTCACACCATGGATCGGCTCAGCTCTCATGGTGTCATTACGTCCTCCCGATGTGTTTTGTGCAGATCAGCTACAGAGACCCATGACCATTTGTTTTTCAGCTGTGACTTTTCCAGTTATGTTTGGCAGGAGGTCACAACCAGGACGCTTTCTACATGGCCTACTCTCTCCTGGCTCCCTCTGCTTCAGTGGGCTAGTTTGCATCTTCGACGAAAAGGTGACTTCAGCCACCTTCTTTCCCGGTTAGTCTTTTCAGCCACAGTTTATTTCCTTTGGTTTGAACGGAATAATCGCGTGTTTCGTCAGCATTGTAGCTCCCATAGAGATATTGTCTTAGCTATTTGTGATCTAGTTCAGATCAAGATTTTGGGTCTAGCACCTAAGTAAGAGATCTCACCTCAGCTCCGTGTGATATGGCATCTTCCTGACTAGCTTTGTAAGGAACCTGCATGCTCTTTTGTGTCGGTTTGTGACTTTGTGTTTGTGGTGAGCCTGCGTGCTCTTTATGCCGGTTTGTGGCTTTTTTTTATGGCATCTTCTTGCTTTGTGGGGAGCCTGCATGCTCTCTGTTGCTGTTCATGACTTTGTGGGTTTTCCCACGAGTTCTTGACTGACAGTTATCAGTCATCCTCTTAGGGTATGCCCCTCGTATTTGTATATTTTTTTGTCTTTTATACATACTTACCTTATCCAAAAAAAAAACGATGATCGATAAGTATCAATAACTCAACTCCCAACACTGAAAGTTGCCTCTGAAGCGACTGTGGTGATTGGAATGGCAAGTATTTCATGAGCCATCGTAGATAAAATGGGATAGTTTATTTGATTTACCTTTCACCACTGTAACGCATCAAATGAGGTATTATCATAATCCTATAACAAACATTTCTCCTCTAGATAACGATCTAACTTAGATTTCTCATGTTGCACCGTTTGAGTTGTCCTAACAAACTGACAGAACCGTGAACTAGTACTTTTAGGGCGTTGTACATTGTCCCGTTGAACTTTACTGATTTCTACAGGTGGTTCACTGTTGGAAGATTGACTTTCTGCTACATATTCCTCATAAATCTCATACAAGGCAGCTTGCACTTCATCAATTTTGCCTTGTGCTTCTTCATCAGGATACATTTGTGGGTAGGCAAATTGCAGCAGCCTCATTTTCATCCTCAGATCCAATACAGTTGCAATTGCCATTACGAAATTGCATTCCCCTCAATACTTGTCAAACTTTTCTTTCATCTTTCCCACCATTGACCGAATAAAATCATCATCATCAAAACACTTTTCATCTAGCAACTTTTTTATGTCAACATTTTCTTGCAAAAATAAGTTAGAAGTGAGGTACTCACTCCTCGATATGACATTAGTTGCCGAGTTGAAGGCTTCCAAAATCTCACACACTTTCTCAAGTTTTTCCCAATCTTCATCTATTGGGGCACAAGTAAAGTTATTATCTAATTGAACTAACATTGGAAACATATCTCTATACTGAATTGTAAGTGCTAACATCTCATAAGTAGAATTCCACCTCGTTTTGCAATCAAGTATGAGTTTCTGCTTGAGCAACTGCAACATCTGAACAATCTCTAAAAACATAATTACTCTAGTCTCTGATTGCTTGACATACAAAATACAATCACGTATGTCTTGAATGATGGGCTTAATTTGGGAAAGCCCATCCTGAACCATGAGATTCAATATGTGTGTCGCGCACCACACATGAAACAACCTCCCACCACACATTAGCTTCTTGTTTCTTCCTAAATTCTCCCTCAAAATCTTGATTGTTGCGTCATTCCTTGAAGCATTGTCAACCGAGATACTGAACACCTTGTTCTCAATTCCCCAATCAATTAAACACTTATGAATAGCAGCAGCAATCTCAACACCAGGTCAAGGAGTTGGTATATGAACAAAATTGAGCACACGCTTCTGCAACTTCCAATCATTATCAATAAAATGTCCGGTGAGAACCATGTACTCAAGCTTCTGATTAGAAGAATTCCATAGATCAATTGTCAAACTAATCTTGTTCATACTCTTAAGCAAATTAACCAACTTCTTCTTTTGTATCTCATACACAGTCACGCAATGTTGTTTCAAAGCAGTACGCGTTATCTTCTCCCATTGTGGCATACCACATCTTTGCATCATGTTAAAACCCTCCTCCTCCACAACTGTAAATGGATACTCGTGCATGAGCACACAGTTAGCAGTTAGTTCCCGCATCTTGCTCATATCAAACTTGGCATCTGAAAAAGCAAGTGCAGATTGCATTGAGATTTCATCTGTTAAACTGGCTGGCCGAAAAAACAACTATGTTTGCCTCTGACTACTTATTCGCTTCAAACATGATTTCAAATGTCTTGCAAATTGAGTTATGCTCTTGGTCTCTGTTATTGCGAGCTTTGCCTTACAATGAATACACTTTGCCTTTGTAGAACCATCCGGTAGAACTACCTCTTTAAATTCATTCCAAACCGCTAATGTTTTTGGTCTCTTTTTCCTCTGAAAAGGATTAACTTGCTCCTCGTCAGTACGAGGGGTAAAAACATCAACACCATCACCGGGTGTGCCTGTGGGTGTGGCATTGTTATCAGACCAGGTTTCAAAGATATCTTTTACTAGTTGCCTTCGTGAAGTGGCAGGGTGTGTTCGATTGGGGGTGAATGACAGATGCTTCATTGGAAAAAACAAATCCATCTGCAAAAAGAATATAAAGTCAGAATGCAATATTGCACCAATTAATTAGAAGAAGAGAATCCCCACAGATTAATTACAGTGGACTGGACTAGGTCTGAAAATATACTCGTGTAAAAGGTTATCAGAATCACACTCGTGATTCAACAAAATTAGGACAAGTTAACTGAAACAAAAAAATAAATAAAAAAATAAAAAAAAATAAAAAATGCAGAATGTCAATCATATGATATTGCAAAGTTCCCTCAAAGTTAAGTGAAACCAAAATTAGGACAAGTTAACTGAAACCATATGAACATTCTGGAAACTTCCAGTTAATCATAGGTGTTTTAATTCTGGAACGCAGAATGTTAATCATAGGTGTCCTAATTCTGTACATACACCATATGATTAACTTAAACAAAAAAAAAAAAATAAAGGAATGCAGAATGTTCATATCTATGTTCCCTCAAAGTTCTTGGAAACTTCTTGAGCAGAGATTGGCTCATACCCAGATAAATGAATTGAGAGAATCTAAATTCTTCACCTTTTATAACCAACTCTTCCTTTATAGTGTGTACTCGATGCAAAACATGACTCGAAAACATTCATTCAATTCATCATGAACACTATTGATAATCCTGAATCTCTGCACTAAGGTACCACTATCACTATTATATTCCTGAAACTGCTATCTGAATCCTCAAGCGCCATTAATATAGCTAACTGAAAACAGGCAAAAGTATTTATTAAGACAGGTTTATGGCCGCTAATCCAATGAAATAATAATACAAACTATACAATTACTCCGTACCAACAATTATTGTAAACAATAAATGGAAAAGCGGTTTAAATCCACCCTCCCAAATCTGGAGTTTATGGACCTAAACATTTGATAGCCAAGGTAAAAATTGTGAAATTCTCTTGGATGCTATGACTATCCATTCCACAAGAAATCATCAAATAATAAGAACAAAACCATCCAAAATATCAAATTATACAACGCAATAACCTCATAATTCAACCCAGTCAATGATCTTAAGCTCTTCTTGTCTCACTTTTTTCTCTTTCTTTATACTCCAAAAATAATTTATATGTATTTCTATCACTCCCTCAACTTGTCTCAGCAAAATACTCCTCCAAAATTTGAGAAGAACGATTAATCAAACAAACAAACAAAAAATTGATTTAAGGACACATAAATGCAATCATGCAGCCCATCTAATCAAAATTAGCAACATTCACAAAAGCTTAAGCTACTAGGAAGTGCACAATTTAATCCTGTCAGCCTTACACACACCATAACAAATACTTATGAACCCGTTGAGTTACAATATATGTTTTCACATAGAATTTCCATAGCTCAAAATTTTAGTTATTATGTTTGCCAATTTTTTGTCATCAAGTAGAGCAACTATATCATATCCAGTAACCAGCAGTTCATGCCTCCTACGAAAGTTCCTATGAGATTTTGCACTTGGGAACTGCTACATAAACACAAAACTAACCATAATCAAACGGACTTACCTGCTTCTTTCCTTGCTTTGGAAGACCTAGCTTGCTTAGAACATCCTTGAGCTCTTTAATTCGAAAATAGGCCAACTTCCCCTACAAGTATAGCAAAAAAAAAATCTCAAATGGTTCCCAATCATAAAGTTTGGCATAAAATTCCTTGAAGCTGTAACTCAAACAGAGTAATCGAAAAATTAACATGATTGATAGGCAACAAAAACACAAATTTATGTTTACATAACCTCCTTACTCTGCAAAAAATTAGAATAGATATCTTTTGTCCTCAGGCTGATGTGGTTTAGAAGTGAAGAAGGGAAGACGACGATGGCTGATGTTGCAGCTTCGTCGGCGTGTGAGACTTTGCGGTGTGAAGAAGTGAAGACGACAGTGGTTGTCTGGTTTATGTGGTTTAGAATTGAAGAAGTGCAGACGACGATGAAGATGACAGTGGTTGATGTTTCAAAGCGATCTGAAGATGTGAAGACTACGGTGGCTGATTAGGGATTTTGCGATTGAGTAGTGGTAGTTTTGTAGGTTTTGTGACTACTGTAGTGAATGTTGTGGTTTAGTTTTCATTTTAGGGTAAATTTAATTTGACGCGAGCTCCCACAAATGATCAATCGAGTAACGAGTTGAAAAACTTGACTGACGACGCAAGCTTCAGTAAAGATCGCGAGCAGCTCGATTCGAGCCCCCATTTGCTCGGCTATTTTCGCGAGTTTGAACTTGCGCTCAAACTCGTTATCTGCTCGAGGATAGTCGAAACGAGCTTCCGCTCGTCACGAATCGATCTCGAATAGCTTGTGAGCTACTCGGGTCGACTACACCCCTAGTTTCAACCAATAGGTTGTCAAATATGACATTTGAAGTGGTAGTCCTTTAACAATATGAACGTATTAATATGTTATTTAGCATAAAAAAGTTTGAATTATTATTTACGATAAATTAAAAATATGAAGATATATTATTTGTTTGAAATTTTTTTGTCAAATTAGTATGTTGATAATATATATTTTTTTTTTTTCCAAAATAGATTAAGAATGTCACCAGAATTAGCAAAATCTTAAGTTACAAGTTTGTATTTTAAATGAATAATTTATCCCATAATAAAATAATTTTCTTGAAGGAAGTGAGAGTTGATTTCTCCAAAACTCCATGAGATCTGGTAGGTTACAATATGGTTTCAAAAATCATAGAAAAGCGTGGCTTGGCTAAAGAGAGCAAAAGTAATCAATTTCCGTCACATGGAGATTAAAACACTTTCAAATCGAGGCTACATATCTCAGCATTTTTATTCCACTCAATTTTGGTAAAAAAATTTATATTAACAAGAGTGTCCAAACCAGTTTGTACGTATCTCAATTAATTTTTCAGAATCCTAGAGTTAATGACTGAGTAAATTTTCAGTGATCACCCCTATTAGAGCCGAAGTGAATTAAAGTCAGGACCTCTTGACTAATATACCCAAAAGTCTTAGTTAAGCACTCAACCACCCAATGATGATTAGTCTATCAAAATATTTGTATACGAAATAATGCACAAGTACTAAAGTTTGGTACCAAATTAAGTGTAATCCTTTCAATAAATGTGCCTCTTAAACCGTTTTCAAAATTTTAATATCAAATAGTGTTGTAGTGGCCAACGAGTTCTATTTTATACCAACCACTTAGCACTAAAAATTTAGGCTTCAAAAGTTCAACCAAGAGAATGGTTTATGCTTTGGTTTGGAGTTGAAACTCCTTCCTTTTCATTCATACATCTTCAATTAGCACCAAAAATAGAGTTTACTGCTAAAATTCTTTAATACAGCCCAACAAAATTCAAGGTTAATTAAACAGTCTTCGAAAACGAACTGCTAAAATTGTTTTAGAGTTTACTGCTAAAATTCTTTAATATAGTAAGTTCTAATAAGGATTCCGCAAAAGGCACATAAATTTTAAGTAAAACAAAAGATGAAACTAAAACTCCAAAACAGTAATAGAAAAGACAAAGAAACCTATCTAAGTCTTTTGAAGAAGAAGAGGATTTAAGATGGTATGGATGGAGTAGAGAAGCAGCAGCAAATACATAATGAGTCCAATGAAGCCAGCAACTAAAGCTCCCGTTACTTGATGACAGTACTTGGGAACTTGGCTGCAAACCGGTAGCCAACCTGCCGAAGAGTTCCCCTTCTTCCCCACTTGAGCAATAGCCAAGGCAGCCGAAATGCTTGAACCCAGTAACAACGTGAAAACCTAACAATGAATCCCATCATCAGGAATTAATACTTGCAGTAAAATTTGGTATTTTGAAATTAAGAAGAATATATGTGATATTAACTCTAAACTCAGACATCTTAAGCTTAAAGGCCTTGGTACCATACCATATCCAAGGCAACAACTAAACGCCAGAGCAAACTCTCGGAAGGAAGAAAGAGAACCAAAAAGCCATAGATGCTGACAATTGCATTTGCAATCACGAAGTACCTACAAGAAGCTTTCAGATTAAGTCCTAAATGGATCACTAGCTAGAGGGTAATCAGAAAATTTTACGAGAAAGAGAAATTAATATTAACAAATAAACTCACTTGAAGGCCGGTGTGTCACTGTACTTAACTTCAAATGATACTGCAAAGAAGCTAGCTGTCTCATGGCTGGAAACCATTACAATTGTAGCTGAAACTGTTGCAGCGAAGGCCATCAACCTGAGCAGAAGAGTGAATATCCTCTTAGTTTTGCCCATGTTTTGATGGGGTAAAAAATTGAATTAAAGTTCTGTGGTTTTAGAATTGTTACAGCAATTGTTGCTTAGAAAGTTAGGAAGACAGATGAAGGAAGGTCACTGGTATTTGTACTGGACTGTGGCAAAGGTAGTTGAATTTCTCAACTGCCACCACTACCGTCCTGTACAAGTTTTCAATTTTGGTAGCTATAAAGACTTGGACAAAGTTGCAAACTTTCATTGGTTGTCTTCCACAAGTCATTCTTGATTTGGTAACCCGACCCGAATTGGGCTTCAGAGAAAATTTAAATTGGATTCAATTGAGTTTAACACTTTGAAGTAGCTGGTGTTAACCTTGAGGAAAGTATATATATAGACATGGGAAATGGCATCTGGTGTGAAGCACTTGTGAAAAAATAGGTTGAGCAATGTTGAGTGCTTAATAGAAAGTGCTTTTTGAGGGGAACAAAAAGGGCTTCGGAAAGTGTTTTTCAAAATACTTGAAAATGTTTCAGGAAATTTTGCGCTTTGGCATTAGAGGATTTATTAATTAATAGCTAACAGCAAAAACAGATGGAAACATTTAATAAATCCCATGAAAGGAGTTGCAGGTGTCCATGATATAAGGATCAGGGTGGCTAATTTTATGGTAATCTTATTCTTGTGATTCATAATATACATTACGTACATTATGGAGCATAGCAATATCTGAGAATCGTCAAATATTAAATAGAGTAAACGACTTTTTCCCACCCAAGGTTTGTCTTAATGATACTTTCTCACCCCAAAAGTTTCAAAAGTTTATATTCTGTTAATATCCAAAACACACTTCACTTTCTCAGCCAGCGTTCGATAAGTTACCAGTAGTCATGGTAAGAGGGGTTTTATAGAGTGGAGACCAGCGAATTGAATGGGGGTGATCGGTTGAATATTTTTCGTATGAATCAGCTAGAAATCAACTAAGAACAGGAAATTCTAGCTTTACGGTGATCGACAATCAATGAGAAATCAGGTGCCAAAGTGAGAGAGGTTTCGTAGAAAGAATACCGTAGGTTCAAATGGTGGTGACGAAGAGAATTTTCGCTATTAAAATTGGCTTTGGGTAGTAACAAAATATTATTTTGGATGGAAAAATGGTATTTTGAAACTTTTTGGGTGGAGAAGTTTCATTTAGGCAAACCTTGGGTGGAAAAAGTTGTTTACTCTATTAAATATGAGACTTTCCATTCACCAATGTCAAAGATAAAATCAATGAAAACATATATTCATATGAAATTAAGATTAAGTTGATGAGTATGACCTTAGACCCCTGAGATTATGATTTCATTCTAAACTAAATTTATTTTGATAAGATTCAATTCTTAATTTTGGAATTTTGAAATGCAATTCAATATTGAAGTGCAAAGATGTATTAGATCGTTAACCTTAAGCGTAGGTGCCAGGTTTACAACCAGCGCCTCAGATTAAGGGTTACAAATTACAATGATGCTTAAAACAATAAACGTACAACTTTTCCCACCCAAAAAATGGCTGAATGACCTTCCCACCCTTAAACTTTTAAAATACCACTTTTTCACCAAAAAAAAAACTTTGTTAATGATTTCCTATACAGTAATACTGATTACAAAGACAAAAATATCCCCACCAAATTTCAATCCCTAATTGCTAGCCACCGCAAATCAAAATTTTACGCACAATTCCGATTGACTTTGACCACCAAAATCTAACCTTATACCACCAAACCAATCACCGATCATTCCTCTTCAATAGCTTTAACAATCTGGACTGTGATAGCTCTCCAATCATCGAAAACCGTGGTTCAGTTCTTTTGTTAAATTCATTGACGCCCGATGAACGGTAAACAACCAAGATTTAGGATGATGGGGCTTTTAGAGAGGAGGCGTCATTGATACTACAGGTGGAATTCTCGGCAACCAAATCTGCCGAAATCTGGCCTGGAAGCTCAACGATCATGCTAACAAAAAACCAACGGTGGCTGACGATTGTTGTGCTCGTTGTGGTGGGAAAGTGAGGGGTTTTTGTGATTGAAGATGGGGAAGTTGAGGGTAGAGTTTACGCTGATCAACAACATAGAAAGCATGTCGAACTAGGGGTGTTCAAAAGCAGTTAACTGAACCGGTTAATCACTTTTCTAAATCGAACTGGTTTGGGGAAAAACCAGTTTTCCGTTAGTCGGTTTTTGGGTTAACCGCTTTAAAAAAAAAAGGTTAACCGGTTTTGAATCGGTTTTCCCCTTTTTTATTGGATAAAACTTTTTATTTTTTATTTTTTCTTAAATTAAATTGTAAACATAAACAATACATATCCAAATAAAAATTAAACATTCATACATATCCATTAACCACTACTAACAATTTTTTTAGGGATTTAGTTTAAATTATTATTATTTTATTTAATATATATATATAAATCGGTTCAAAAAACCTGTTTTGGTTAACCGGTTTTGATTTTTTTTCGAATCGCTAACTGAACCAAAAATTTGGTTTTTTGAATTTCTTGAACCGTAACCGAACTGTTTTTTCGGTTAACCGGTTTTCGGTTTGGTTATCAGCTTGGTTCGATTTTTGTATTTTTTTAAATACCCCTATGCTGAACCGTTTGAACTGGTCTATATTGACGATTAGGGTTTAAGAAGTTATCTGATCAAAACGAAAATATGATCATTCTGCCATTCCTTTTAATTAGTTTTTGATCATTCTATCTTTCGTTATAATAAAAATTATTAACAAATTTGGGTTTTATGTGAAAAAGTGATATTTTAAGAGTATTTAGTATGAAGCGGAAAGTGTCATTAAATCATTTTGTTGGGTGGAAAAAGTCGTTAACTCCGATGTCGCTCCCATGGTACTTATTAGTATTTAAACCCAGTCTTCACGTTGCCTCCATTAGTTTAGGGTTTTTGTCTGAAATTTGAAACAAAAAAATAAAAAAAATGGCAATCACCTTCTCTCTCAATTCACTCTCTAAAATCCCAAAACCCTCATCTAATCCTAAAATAAAAATCTTCAACCTCTTAACAACCCCATCGAAACCTTTCCTCAAATTCCCCCCCATTTTTAAACCCAATTCTCTTTCTCTCTTCACCTCCATTACTAAGTCCCATCCCAATGCCAAGCCCAGAACCTCAACTATTCGCTTCCTTTTCACCGGCATCGTTGAAGAAATGGGTGAGGTCAAGCACGTCGGCGTTTCCGATGACGGAGGGTTCGACATGAAAATACGCGCGAAAACCGTTCTACAAGACGTTCATATCGGTGACAGCATTGCCGTTAACGGCACGTGTCTAACGGTGACGGAATTCGATACCCAATTGGAAGATTTCACTGTTGGATTGTCCCCGGAGACTTTGAGAAAGACTTCTTTGATTGAATTACAACCTGGCTCGTTGGTGAATTTGGAGCGGGCTCTACAGCCCACGACCCGAATGGGCGGGCATTTTGTGCAGGGACACGTGGATGGAACGGGAGAGATTGTGGAAATGAAGCCAGAGGGAGATTCTTTGTGGATTAAGGTGAAAACAGCTAAGAGTTTGTTGAAGTATGTTGTGCCCAAAGGGTTTATAGCTGTGGACGGTACTAGTTTGACGGTTGTGGACGTGTTTGGTGAGGAAGATTGTTTTAATTTTATGCTCGTGGAGTATACTCAGCAGAAAGTGGTTATTCCTTTGAAGAAAGTTGGGCAAAAGGTGAACTTGGAGGTGGATATATTGGGTAAGTATGTTGAGAGGCTGCTCAGTAGTGGGTTTGTAGACTCTATCAAGGGTCATGACGATTAAAAGGTACTTAATTGTGATTTCTGTTTCTGTATTCGTTGTTGGCCTTTTCAAAAATAGTTATTTGTTTAGTTTTGGTTATTGATAAGTGACTTGAATAAGAAAATGGTCATTGAATGCTGTTATTGCTATTTGCAAGTGCTCATTGGTTGTTAACTAGGCTGATCTAGTATTTTTTTTTGAAAAGAATTATGATTGTGTTTAAGTTCCTAGGTGGAACTCTGGTGACACTTGGAAGATTTAGTGGTACAGTGAAGTCACTTGTGTGATACTTGTCAAAATTTTAATAAAAAAGATGTGATTGGTATCTTATGACTGGTTATGTGTGTTACACAGGGGTGTAATTGAGCCGAACCGAGTATTGAGAAGCTCAAGCTCAGCTTGGCTGGAACAGTCGGAGCTTGAGCTTGATAGAGCTTCAATTGTTATATAGTGGGCTTGAGCTCGGTTCGATTACGACCTAATTGAGCTCAAGTGTGACTTGATTATGACCTAGTCGAGCTTGAGCTCGACTCGGTTCAACCCACAAAGCACAACAGCCAACAAAATCATTTCACAAACCCACAAAATACAACATCTAGCAAAAAAATTTCACAAACCCACTACAACCAACAAAATCATTACCTAAATGCACAAAACACAACATCTAGCAAATTTTTTTCACAAACCCATTTGTGAAAATCCTCAAATCTTCCGGCGGTTGAAAGTCCACAAAGCATAAACCCAAACATGACAAACCCACAACATCCAACAGAAAAAATGTGTACGAGAAAAGGGGCTGGAGGCTGTGACACCGCCTGCCCAACTTGCAGTTGTTGCAGCCTCCAGCTGCTGCGGAAGAAGAGATTGGGAAGGCGACAGTAGATAGTGAAAAGGAAAGAGAAGGAAAAAAAATGATAAGAAAAGAGGAGGGAAAGTAAAAAAAAAAATCGAGTTTGAACTGTGAAATGTGAATTAGGGATTTGGAGTTTAAATTTTTTAATTATTAATTATTAATTTATATATGTAATATTATTTTAATTAAGATATTATATATTATGTTGAGTTCGAGTAAGCTCACAAGTTGCTCGAGCCGAGTATTGGGAAGCTCGACCTCAAATTACACCCCTATGTGTGTACATTATGAAGTACATTTTTTTGTGATATATGATGAAACAAGATTCATGTAATTGATCCTAAGTCATTTGTAATTGGTATCAAATCTTTGTTGAGTTGACTTTGGTACAAGACTTTGACAAGTTCAGTAGGAGTACACTTTAGTGAGCTTTAACCCATAACGCGGGAAAAAGATCTAATAGTTAAACAGAATGATTATGCATTTGATTGATGGTAACAAGAAATTTCATCATAGTTTTATGTTTTCCCAACATTTTATTTCCTTAATGCATTCATTGAATCTGCTTCTATAGATTGAAAATCTTGTCTTTTATATATAAATTCTGATATATTGTGCTCCTCAAAGATTAGTTCCAAATTTCTAAAGTATGTCAGTGCAGTGGTTCTCTGCTTTGCTCTTAATTAGTGGAATGGCTTTAGGATGAGGCTATGAAGATTGCAATTTCTCTCTACGAGATGAGATGCATGAAAAGAATGCCTAAATTTTAATTTCTTTTTTAAAACTAGAAATATGTGTATTCAATATCTTAGCTGGAGATATGGTAAAAGTTCAGTTATATCATGAGGTTTTTCTTTTAATAGTGAGTAGTAAACTTCTCTTTGAAAGCAATCTGACTTATGTCGTTACTGCTTGTTCTTTCACATATAAATTTGTCATTTTCTTTTCATTGCTATATTGTGTGTTGTGATAGCTATAATCATTATGAAGGTAAGCAGTCACAATTGCCGTTGTTTTACCAATTACATTATCTTGTTCAGTTAAGGAATGAATGTTGTATTAGAATTTCTGACTCGAACAAACATGGCTTGTCATCAGTTATGTTCTACAACTACTTAAGTAACAGATCATTCGTTGTAGCAATAGGGCACAACACGAATGAATTTGAAATTCTGAGTGACCTTATGTTTGGAGATTGGTTGTTGGATATCTGACTCTGAACACTGTGCCCTGTGAATATGATAAGACATATAGGAATATGTCGTTGCAATTTTCTGGAGTCAGCATAATGACCATATTCTAGATTTATAGTGCTTAGGATTTAGGCTAATTGAATGTCATCTGAATTCTGACAGAATGTGTTTGTGTGAAATTAGCTGTTGTGGTTTAGGAGTAAATCTATTAAGTGCATGAAGTTTCAGTTTCTTTCTTTTTTTTTTTTTTTTTTTCTCAAAAAAGAAATCATAATTGCTAATGTTTCAGAAAATTCGTTGGATTTGCTCTCTTACTAAATTCTTTCTTACAATTTTTTGAACAACAGTTCAAATTGTCATATCCAGAGCCTTCAGTGATGTAAAGCATTCATAATAGGAAGCATGGCTTGTTTCTTAAATTTGTTTTTCTTCTACTGAAAAGTACTACGTAGAAACTGGTTACGCAAAGTAGCTATATATATAGATACTGACTTTGGAGTTGTTACATGTGTAGTAACTGGTTTTGGAGATTGATAAAAATATTTCTTTTTATTAGTTCTTTTAAATTTAATCCTTCATTTGACTCTTGATTTTTGATGTGGATGCTATCTCGTGGTGCCCATAAGAGGTGTAGTGTTTTCATTACATCAGATTCAACATCTAAATCCTTTTTCATATGAAGCTGACTCGGAAACTCTTTTCTGAAAAAGAAATGTGGATAAACTTTCTCAGTAAATGTGAGTGACTTGCCCGTCTCACTTTGATCAGAAATGTTTGATAATAACCTTTACTAGGCCAGGCCCTAGGCATATTATATGTGAAAATTTTCCTTAATGTTCCAACTCAAACAGCACTTAGCCCATTATCTCTTATCCCAATATACACATTTTTTAAAATATATTCTTCCTTTATTTGAGCACTTTCACCGGTTCAGGTGCTAGCATATTCTTTTGTAGCTGTAAGAAAGTCGTTCATTTGATTGAATCCTTGATTGTTCCGGATAATCCTTTAGTGACGGCACCTTACTCTGCTGGGTTTGTAAGCAAGATGAAACTAGTTCGGTTCTTGAATTGACAAGCCTAAATAGAGATTCTCACATGAGATCAAAATCCAAACTTAGGGGTCAAACTACTAGTGCTGGATTGATCGCATAATCTTAGAACTCTAAAGAATTCATTCTATAACCAAATCACTTTTCATTTGGAGAAATTGCACCCAAATGCAACCAAATCACTTTATTCGCTTTAAAAGGACGCTAATGACCCACAAATGAAAAACACTCGCATTAATTTATTGACGCTACAGACTGGAGTCAACATATTCTTCTCCACCCATTCTTTGGGCCCTTTCAGCTCTGTTCTCTGTAAACTTATTTGCTGATTTCTTGTGGTGATTGTATTTTATTTCAAGTACAGATCACATGTTAATGGCAATTGCTATCCGTTAAATTACCCACACATCATGTGGTCTAAAACCTTGTCAGCAAAATTGCCATTGAATCTGTTCCAAGTTGTGGAGATCCCTTTTAGCCGTGGTCATATGCCCACCTCCAAATTTTACATTATCATGTGCATTTGTCGGCTGTAATTTCTTTTCTTAATAATCTTGTGACTCATTCATAAGTAATTAATTAGTCTAATTCTAATTTAATTTATGGTTTGACTAAAAATATGAAACCTTTTCCAAGTTTGGTTTTATTATGATTGGCAAAGTCAGACCGTGCATGGTATTGGTACATCTCTTTTTCTTTTGACTTTAAGTTTAGTGACAATACACTTAAAGAAATATTCAACCTTTGTGATTCTTTTTAAAATTTATGCCTTTATTTGTCAGTATTTCATACAAAAACTGAAGCTTAACTCCATCAGGTTAATTAAAAAAATCAGAACATGCTGAGCCTTGAGACAGTTTGTGTTTGGTCCACCTGTCAGATCACCATTTATATGTAAGAAAATAACAATGACAAGTTCTTCACGTCTTCACCTTTCAAAATATTGGTGTGTTTTCAGTAATTTCCGACCTTTCTTTTGAGTTGTGCCGTGACCAACCACCAAACCACCAACTAAAAAAATTGGTGGTTGGCGTGACACGTGTCGGAGTTTTTGTCGGTTAATGATGACCGCAAGAATAAAGAAACAAGTAGTTGGCAACAAAGTACACAGAAAAGAAGACGATTGTGCCCCTTTCTTCCATTTGATATGATATGGGACATAAATATAATAATGTTTCACTTAAAACGGTTGCCGTCTTCTTTGTTAGTGACAGAATTTGCTGCAGTGATCTTCCCCCATCCATTTTTATATCTTACTTGAAACACTCATTGTTTCGCATTTCCATCAATCAAAATCGTCTACTTCATGCCTGACGATTAATAAAAAGGTTTAAAAATAAATTAAAGAATGAAATTATTTTTAGGATGTTGTTGATATGATATAGATATCAAGTATTGAAATTGTTTACATAACCCACTCCATTCCGAATATCTAGGCCCTTTCAATGAACTTGTGGATTCAGTGACGCATACGTGAATCCATCTTAACCATACACGTGCCCACCAATTATTGAGTACAACTACAAAAAATCAGCCTATCAGCAATCATCTCGAATAAATCAACATCGATGTGCCGCGACAACTAACTTTCTAATTATCATATTACGAAATTACCCTTTATGCTTCTAGAATAAAATTAGCCAAGTTACTGTAATAACCTTAATTTTTTCAGGCGAGAACTACCATTCTTATGTTTGGAAGCATTATTTAAAAAAAAAAAAAAAAAAAAAAAAAAAAAAAACATTGATCGTGAAATCCAATATGTTGATTTTTTTTCTTTAAAAACACACAATAAACAACTCCATACATTTTTCTTTCCCTTCTTGTATAAATTTCTTTTTAAAGAATCAAACAACCCAAAAGGCCATTGGATTTTGAACTCCTTTCAATAATATTATAAACAAAAAGAGCCAACGAAAATGTTCTTCAAAATTTATAGGAAAGACTCAATTCAAAAGGAAGAATTAATTCAAAAAACGAGAAAGGCAAAGTTAAGAGTGTATTTGATGAATTTGGAAAATAAAATTATATAATGTTAAAAATGTAATTTCAATAGTGAAAGACTAAATGCGTTATAGTTGCCGCGTTAAGTGTTCGAAATTACCACTAACCAACCCAAGCCACTCTTATAAATTTGCCGTCAAATACCTCATTTTCCCATACTTTCTCTCTATCTTTTTCTCCAAGAAAACGCTTGCCCAGATTCCCAGAAATTAATTTCTCATCCCCACAATGAAGAAATCTGGTCTCTTTGCTGCCTCAGTTGCCGCAGTTTCTGCTTCAGCTATGTCTGCTTCTTCCACAAACTTCGTTTGCAATTCCAATTTACAAGTTTCTCATGAGGTAAATCTTCAATCCTTTCTTCGGTTTTGAATTTTTCCCATAAGGGAATTTTCTTTCCTTCATTCTTTTCCCTGTTTTCTTCTTCTTCTTCCAAACAAAAAACTGTTTGGTTGCCTGGAAAATAGTGAAAGAGGATGTGAAAATTGTCTAGTAAACTGTGTTGAAATTTCGCGGAAAGAGGCTGTTGTATAATAGTCTAGAATCGAGCTGTTATTTTTGTCTTGTAGTCTCTTCCATAGTTGCATCCAATTGGGAAATCGATTACGTTCTAATTTTGTGCCAAGTGTATTATTTCATTTTCACTATTTGATTGCCTTGAAATTTGTGTCTGGAAATTGAGGGTTTTCTTGTAAAATTATGATTTTTCTGGGAAAAGGGGCCGTTTTATTAACACTCCATCCTCTGTTTTCTTTTCCTATTTTCCCTTCGCAGCCAAGCAATTTTTTTTTTTACCAAATTTGTTTCCTGGAAAATCAACTGAGGTGTCAAATCTTGCGGCAAGTGTCATCTTGCATGCTAGTTCTTGAAATTTTAAATCAGTCCTTTCGGTATTAACTTAACTTCTTATTTTGCATTAGATGTGGCTTAATATGGGTCTTAAGCTTGATTTATTTGATTCTCAGGATGTTTCATTGAAGAAAGATCATGATAATTCATCGATGCAAAGGTCATCATCAACTGAAAAATTTGCTCCAAGGTTTGATGGCTTGAGGTTCATTGAAACTCTGGTCACTGCTCACAGATAAACAAGATTTTTTTTTTTTTATATTTGTTCTTCCAGTTTTTTAATGAGAACAAAGAAAGAGAAAGAACTGTAACTCTACAGGTTCTGTAATAGTAGTTTTACCCTATATTGCCCCTGTTGGGCAGTTCCCTTTTACTTATTCAGGTCTACCTTCTACTTCTCTATAATTTTTTTTTTTTTTTTTTTCCTGAGTTTAGAGGTATGATGTGTATAACTAATTTTTAGTTTGATCTTAATGAGAAGATCATGATCCAAGTCTAATCAAGACATTTGAATTTGTAGATCAAACTAGTACAAATTTTGATTGCTTGTAAATGAGATGTTAAATTTGGGGTGCAAATCATGTGTGCCAATTAATGAAATGTTCATATTGCCCCGTTGAGTGAAGGACTCATCTTGCTTCATAAATATTCTGTTTAGCTTGAAATTTCAGGTAAAGTAGTTTTCAAATCGAATCCGACAATATTTACTGGTACATATCCTGGAATTGCCTCAACGTCAAAATATTGTTTGTCCTTGATTGGGTTGTCAACAGTACAATGCATACTGCTGAACAAACATTAAACAAATCACAGTAAAGATGTTGAAGAAAAAGCCTTTCGGCATTTGCTGACAAGTGAGTGGATATAGATATGTATCGTCAGCTGATTCAGCGAGCATTCTTTCTTCCCAATAGCAGTTAAAGATTCCCAACGCTACCACAAGTTGTGATGGTATCAGAAAAGAAAAAGATGTAAAGAGTTATAATTGTCGATAGTCCGACTTGACTTGGCCTTTATCGTTGCCATCTTTCTCGTTGATAGTGATGTTGATATTATCATCTCAGTTCTCTTGCTAACATTTCTTATTCACTTTCCCACAAAAGCGTGCCTCTTTTGCACGATAAAAAAACACTATTTTACAGGAAATTGCTGACACGCCACCGTCTTGTGAGCTGTGATTGATGACAAGCTGTATTGCTTGATAATACGACACCTATGATTTCAACTGTTAATCTACTTAATTAATTAGGCACTCTGACCTACTATTGACAAGTTAATTATTTTTTCTTATTTTATGTGAAGGTTAATTTTATGTAATTGTCAGTGTCATTAGTGGTCCTTCCTATGATAACCTAGAGAAATAATTTAGCATATAAATCTTGAATAATTGATGTAATCGATCAACAATTAGGTGCCCTGTTATTTCTGAGAGATTATGTCGGTGCATGTATATGGTTTCAAACCTTAATATATCAAGATATTTAAGAAAGACATTGATACATCAGCAGAAAGCTTCAGCCATTATATGCAAACCTCATTCTAAAAAAAAGCCCATAACTGTTTTTTTCTCCAATTCTTTTTCACCCTTCAAGCCTGAAACGCAAGCCGATAAATATATAAAATAATGCATTTTGTCACCTATCCTCTCGCTCGCAGCCAACGCAAAGGATAAAGTTTTCAAAGAAGAGTTGGATTTCAAAGTTGCATGCAGTTTGACAATGCAGAAAAATTGTCATCCACTCTAATATCTTCAGAGATATTTATCCAATGCGCCATACAATGACTAACAGTTTAAGTTGATTTAACAAAACAAACATCCAAGAATTATAAAAGGATATGATCTCACATATAGTCAGCCACGTGAACCAAAACGCATGCCAAAGCTGACTAAATTTATAGAAGGGTTATGTGAGGAAAAATTGTTTTATAATTTTATTACAGCTACAGGCATTGATGTAACTCTGCACAAAAAAAAAAAAAACATTATGATATCATATTATTCGGTAGCATTGGTACAATTTGGTGAACACATCATTTGAAAATGTGTTCCTGAGGAAGTCATATTTGAGGTAAAGAGAAAAATTAATAAATGAAAAGGAATTTACTTATGTATAGTGGTTTTTCACCTTTCGACATTCAATGCATAAAGAAAAACAATGCCAGAAAGGCAGTTGCGAGCATCCAAAATGTGTACTGAGTAGCTGCTGCATGACTTTGTGATGGTGCCGGAGGTGGTACGGATTGGCAGGTGAGACCGTATTTCCCTTCACGACATTTGCTGGAGAAAAGGCCAGGTGGGAATTTTCCACGGAGGTTTATGTAGCTGAACATGGTTGCAGCACAATCAGTTTTCATGTCATTAATTTTATCCACGAAAGGGCAACAAAACTCCTTAAGAGCTGTACAACATGTCTCAGCAGGATAATCTGGTCCTTTGCACTGGCTTGTAAGGATGGTGTAGTTCTTTTCCTCAAAATTTACAGGACATGCTGCGGATCATGAAGAGAAGAACATATCATCATACCATTCTATCAAAACAAAATCAATCATTTAACAAGATTTTGTTATTGTTGGATATGTTAATGTTATTTTGTATCACTTCGTTTCAGGATTTTTCTGCCCACTATAATTTTAAACCTGTTCCTATGATAAAGGTTATAGTACACCTCCTCTTCACATAAAATTGGCATAAGTAGTACAAGGTCTTTACCCTCTTCTTTATGATCCAAGGAACACAATCAGACTCAAATATTGTTAGCAAACGACAGAAACCTTCAATTATGAAAATAACAATAGATTTTGGAACAAGAAAGTAACATTTGGGTAACACCAGTGATAATAAATTATGCGGTGAAGACAATTTTAATTTTTCCTAAGCCAAAAAATGAGTTTTTTCATGACAGAAATCTGAATGATAGCCGTTTTAATTCAAGAGTATACAACAAAAGTTATCATTTATGTTCCATTATTTTTTTTTTACCGAAAAATTTAAACTGAGTAATGCATTTTTGAGCAAATTTTACATTCTGTTAATAAAAAAAAAATCAGAGAAAAGAGCATACTTGTTTGGGCTTGAAGAAGGGCACGACCAGTATTTCTCTGAGACAGAAAGACATTATCTGCGTTAAACATTAACAATTTATCAACCATTGTTACTAAAAAACAGAACACCAAAGCACAGGAAAATGGGTTCCAATTCCAAATGAAAACGAAACAGAGTACTTACCTGAAATGAAAGAAGAAGAAGCAAAACATTGAGCAAAAAGAAACAAGAGAAGGAAGTCTACGCAAAGATTAAACCTCATTTTTTTTATCCTCTTTGGAGATCAATACTCACATAGAATGATCTCCACTTTCACCCTCCCCCTCTCTTTTTCTTATTTCAAAATATTATGAGCTTGTTCTGGGGTTTCCCTCTATTTCCATAGCTTTGTTTACTTATTTTAGAAGTGAGTGTGTCGCGGAGAGGAAAATGTTGCAGGAATCTTGGCAACAGACAACACACAACCGTCCATTTCATGCTTCAAATAGTTGGTCGTAACAATAGTTCAACATTACTCATGTTACAATTTCTTTCTCATATTAAACCCTTTATGAATTTTCCATATTCGGGTACATATACTTTTTATTAGCTTTTTTAAAATTTTATTTTTCTATTAGAATGTTGGTTCACTTTGGTGATATTGGCTTCTTGTCAGCTGTTTCAGGATCATCATTTCAACCTTTATAATTAAATAGGAAGTTCTATCCACACTTAGATTACGTTAACCTAAAATTTGGGTATATCATAATTTGGTTAAATATGAATTTGTTTTGTGATTAACACTTTTTTTTTTTTTTGTATGTTAGAATATGCATAGAAAAAAAAGATTTTAAATGAGAGAATAAGAAAGGATTAGAATGACAAATGGATTTGTGAATGCCACCCACCCACAACTTAAACCGAAGAATGACTCAACCATTGACCTTTCATCAATAAAAAATTGATCCAACAAAAAGGATGACATCCATTCGTGAGTCATCAACTGGTGAGATTAACACTTTGAAAAAATTGTTAGTCTAACATGTGTTACAGAAGGGATTAGTGTAATTCCAAAAACTGTGGGGTTAAAACTCCATATTTTTATCCGACTTGGGGAGTTAAGTATAACTGATAACTCGTGTTGCCGAGTAGTATTAGCTTTGCTGGCTAACAGATGTCCCTGTTATGTCTTACTTTACGAGTGACTGACCTGCCCATTCGAAGCCTTCTACTTGTCAGCGCTTCTAACAAAACCACCAATGCATCCTCCACTGCATCAGCTTTTTCATCGAACCCATGCAAACTGAACTCAGGCAGGAGTTGCAGCTCAGAGAGAAGGCCTATGGCTGCTGCTGCAGTACAGGTACGATCCCAGGAGGGTTGAGGCCTGCACTCAGAATGCCATAGATAATCGTTAAGAATGTGGAATTGAGGATAGGATTGCAAACAAAGCTATCAATAAGAGCCACAGCAGAAGACTTGAGAAACATGCTTCACATCTTACCGAAGTTTATGCATTGCAGATGCACCCATGGTTAGAGATATGCATGGAAATTTTTCCTCCCCCCAAACTGACTTGGCTTGCTCCTGCCCATAAACATGCTTATTGCAATCAATTTATGAAACAACTACCGACAAATTTGACATGATATCATTTTTTTAAGAAACTGCTGAATACATATCCATATTAACTTTAGTGTATAACTACTAAATATAGATGACCTTTAAACGATTGAACATTGCTGCCGAGTTGCTCCATGTACCATCAATCAAAACAAAATTCAAAGTTTTATCTCCAGCAGTCTGTACAGTCAAACCAAAATGAGAATTACAACCTAATTATGGAAACAGAATAAGACATTAATTAAGCACCAAGCACAATGTAAATTGAGTTCAAACCGAAGTGGGAAGGTATAAGATCCATAATTGGAGCTAGTACAAACATGGTTCCAGTAAGAGTGTTGGCAAGACAATGGTAAATGACTTCACAGGAAAAAGTCAAACCAATGTTTATGGAACCAACTCTATATTATCATACACAGCATATATGAAGTTAAACATTATACAAAAGTCGATAATAAAAAGAGTCGATAAACATCGTACTATGCATCTATTTGATGGGATATGGACAAGAAACAAATCCCGATTTATCATGTGCAGAAAAAATAAAAAATAAAAAAAAAATAAAAAAAAAATAAAAAAAAATAAAAAAACTAGAAAGGTGTTTCTGCTAATATGCGCATCTAATTTCAAAATTTCAAGAATAACTAAAAGAAGAGATATTAGAATGTATTTACGTGTTAAGACAATTATACCATCACAGGTGTGGATAGATATAGGTGACCTCTAGGTACTGGTTTCCGGAGGACCTGACACTCTGTCACTGCATTCTTGTTGGGATAAAGACACCAAACCTTGTTTTTTCCTGAAATTGATGAAAAACAGAATCAAAGGGTATTGGTTTTGCGAGTAAACGCACTGAAGCATTGAGAATTACAAAAAGTTCCAATTCTGAATGCCAAGATTGAATAATAGCTAAAGTACACCAACTTAACTCAAAAATGAATGTTAATAGTTAAGTTCAAATGCAAAAATAAATTCCTAATTGCAGCTGTAAATGATTTGTATTAAAAAGGAAAAGCTACTTGATGTCTCTCTTGATCAAATTAGTACTCCACATTTCAATTTATCCATTTCCAAGAGAAAAAGGGTACATAATAGGTTCCTTAGGAGAACTGAACATAAGCAAGTAGTTTCACATGCTCTTCAATGAGATATGAATCTCTATAAACGGTTCCTAATTACACATTTTCTGTTCCACCAGTCTTTGGAAACTTTCAACTGTTAAAAGAGAGATATAGATAAACCTGCACACTTAAATGCATTCCACATGATTTCCTCGTCTTCAGCAATGCCAAAGAGGCACAAAGTTGCTGCTTGAACTCCAAATAATTGCCATAACAACTTTCCAGTATTGTTCTGGCGTAGAAAGTCCTGTAAAAGCATGTCATACACTGATTGTTTCATGGCTCAGGCAAACATACAAGCAAAATGGCAGACAAAAAACACTAACCTTCGGATGCATGTACACCCAAAACCGCATACCATGCCATAGACTGCAAGGCTTGACTTTTGAACACATACAATCTTCCATAGCAAGCCAGCACTGCTAGTTGATAAAGTGAAAAATAAGCAGGACAATAAAGATTGTAAATATATTAAAAGGCATGATAATCATACCAACCATTACTATGACAAAAGTGCCTACGATACAATGAAACAGAAACCGCACATGATAACCTTTGAAAGTGAAAAAGCTCAGAAAAACAGTCATATACCTTCTGGCAAAGGTAACCCCTACTTCCAAGTAGACGGCATGCTATTTGTCGAGATGCAAAAAACTGAAGCTTCTTTTCAGAATCACCTAAAGCCTCATATGTTGCTCTGTGTTTCTTATCCTCTTGAACCTTAAAATCTCCCTGACGTTTACAAAAGAAGATAAATATAAATATATAAATATGTAGCAGTAGAGACAAAATTCGGGGCAAGAAAAATGAAAGTAACAAGAAATTTTCCAGCCAGATGAATCACAAGCAGCCAAAGTAGAACTAGTTGATCACACATGACAATTAATAATAAGAAAGAATGGCTTAAAAAAACATGAGAGAAAAATGCCCAATATGAGAAAAGGTAGCTAAGACCAAGCTGGAAATTAAATTATGTGCGAAAATTAAAAACTTTTAATGAGTATGTAAGAACAGAGAATCTAACTGTGATTACATCGATATAAGTCCTTGTGGAGATCTTCACTAGTGATTAGGAGGATATTACTCAACATGTTCTTCAAAAGAAGGCCTTTAAAAATGTTTTAAATATACCAATTTATATTTTTACGTAAGAAAACTCTTTCAGCCAATTTGCAAGGAGGAAAATACAATTTATCATATCACGGCCATTCCCTTTATACACCAATTGCCTGACAAGAAAAGTGGTGGCGTGAAACAAAAACTACTCGATGATTTATATCGTTTCAGTTCCCAATAAGTGGAAAGTAATTCCAGCTATACCTGATGACAAATACTTCAATTATTATGCGCTCTATAGTCTACACAGTGAAAGAAATAAAATTTTGATGCAAAGAAACAGATGCAAATTGCTTTCTTCAAATTATCCATTTCAGCAACCAAACTGATGAACAAAGAAGAATAAGACAGCTTAATGGGATGAAATACCTGGAGCTTGCCACCATTGCCAGCAAAGCTCATCTGGGCATCGATATTTTTCTCCAAAGACTTCAAATCGTGAACAATTTGGCTAACCATAACTGGAACCGGAGACACAGTCCCCCAGCCCTGCCATTCCTGCAATGTGATGAAACCATCACCGGTGTCTTGGACAAGTACTTCTCGCGGCGGTGAACGAGAAGCAGAGCCCACCAGAAGGCTTCTAGGTGGAGAGTCCATGTGGGTTTTGGTGGAGGAATGTAAAAGAGATGGAATTGAAAGGGAGAATTTGAAGGTGAGAGTGAAAGCCCTACTAATAGTAATAGTTGAAGATGCGAGCATGATTTTTGATGGGTTTTTGTTTGCTGTTTATGTTTCGTTTTTGGTCTGCAACTGCAAATCTATGATCGTGAGCTTGTAGCTACATTGGTTCTTGAGGTCCAACCAAAGCTGGTTGGGTCTGGTTTACCTTTGTGTTTTGTTACTGGGCTCCTAAAAACCCATTTACCACCTAAATCATTCTTTGATTTACACAATGATGTTACACATACAGTACTTACATATAAATGATCAATTAATATTATAATAATAAAATGATATATTTATTGAATAAAAAAAATTGCGATATTATTTTAAATAGGTAACATTATTCTTACCAATAAACCTTTGTAATTTTCTTTACTGTAGAAGCTAGAACTAAATTAATTTAGTTGTTGTATTAATAATTAATTAGAAGGCAGCTACTCTTCAAGATTGTGAATATCTATCGTCATTTCTTCATTTCTTTAGCCGCCGTTTATATTTCTTCGCTCTCACCAGACTTTACCATCTAACTTTCATTTAAACAACATAAATCTCAAATCTCACAACACAACCCCGCCCCCACTTCTTACATTCACTTCAACAATGGCTGCTGTTCTTGAATCTATGGTTCTCTCTGCTTCTTCTCGTCCACCCAGTTCGCTTCCGCCTTCTATGACTTTTTCATCGCCCAGAATTTCATTGTCCAGCGGCCGAAAAATTCAATCTTTGCCGGGTTTCATAGGGTTGAAGATCCAAGCGCCTTTGAAATCACCGTCAGCTTCGTTGAGTTCGAAGGTTCCTAGGGTTTCTTCACATAAGACAAGCATAGTTTGTGAAGCTCAAGACACTGCACTTGACAGTTAGTTCTTTGTCTCTCTCTTAAATTTGTTTCTTGTTTTAGTTTTCACTCTTCGTTTTATTCGCGGGTTTAGTATAGGTTACGACTTTGGTTATTTACTAGAAACTTGGAAAAGATTGATAAAAGTTGACATCCCATGATGAATTATTGTTGCCTGAACTAAAAGTTAGGTGTTGCATTCACTCAAATGTTTTATGGTTTTATTGATTGCTCCTGTAAAACACCAGACAAATATCCCAATGCTTTCAAGTTTCGAACTAGTTGGATATATGTAAGTATTCGATCCGTAACTAAGATCTCTTATACCGATCATTTTTGGTCCTGTTTCGATGACAGAATTCCTCTTTCCAATCAACTTAAAATTCAAGTTCGATGTGTATATAGAGGACACAAAATTTAACTGTGGATTTTTGCATACTGAAATTTCATGAGGTTGTTGAAAATGCAGTACTTATTTTGTCCACCTGAACGGTTATACAATTTCTCATTCCCCTAACCATAAGTCCATAACTAGCAGAGCTGATTCATTAATCGAGCATTATACTTCATGAGTCTCCTTATATATTTAGATAATAGGTAGGTTGTATCTAAGTCTAGTGGTGCATAAAAGAATAGTCAAGTCTTGGTACATCTTGGTCGGCAATTTTCTGTGCTCAAGCTGGACTTAGGCCCGCAAAGATCAGCTTGTCAGCCAAGTTTGTTTACCCGCAACATGTAAAATCTATTATCTTGAAAATTTCTACCCTGTCACCCACAATGTGCATATCATTGATAAAAATATGCGAATATAATAGCAGTAATAATAATCTATATATTAGTGTAAACAACTTATGCCAGTAATGTACTCAAGTTTTATCCATCCTCATTAGTTTTTTTTGTGTACATAGTGTTCTCTTTGGTTAATTTATGTTGGTGTTAATTTTTGATGATTTTAGAGAACTCAGGCCAATTATCTTCAAGAGTAATCAAATTTTGTTTGTTTGCCTAACAGTGGAGCATTAATCAGCTGAACATTACTTTTTGTCCCAAATTTGTGATATCTCTTTTCATAACTTGTGCTTGTTTGTCTTCTCTCTTTGAAAACATACATTTAGGCCTTGTAGCTTGTCAACGAATTGGAATTTTGAATTGTGTATTTTGTAAATTGCAATGTTCTCCATTTGCTGAATGCTGAGGACTTCTGGTTGAGAAATTGTGTTATTATTTCACGTTTGCACTAGCAAGTAATGCTTCTGTGAGGTAGAACCCCTGTCATTTCTTTATATCACGGTTCAATTGACATCTTTCCTTGGCTTCCAAAAATTGCAGTTCCAACTGTGAATGATACAACATGGCAGTCACTAGTTTTGAAGGCTGATGGACCTGTGCTAGTTGAATTTTGGGCCCCGTGGTGTGGGCCTTGCCGTATGATCCATCCTGTTATTGGTGAACTAGCACAGCAGTATGCTGGAAAGCTCAAGTGCTTCAAGTTGAACACTGATGAAAGTCCTTCCATTGCTACCCAATATGGAATCCGAAGCATCCCAACCATCATAATCTTCGTCAATGGTGAGAAGAAAGATGCTGTTATTGGTGCCGTGCCCAAATCCACTCTAACTGCAAGCATTGAGAAATTCTTGTAGGGAAGAAAAATGGAACGACACTGCTATAGTTTTGCTGTTTTGTATCCTCGTCAGTGTTTTGAGGATGAGAAGTTATCCTTTCTGTATAATTTCAGAAGCTTCATTTCACCCGTGTTTTCTTTTGTTGATGTATGCCCTTCTTTTGTTTATTTATTTATATATCACAGATTTTCTTCTCTTCAATAACATGCTATATCTTGGCTCAAATTATGCTTCCCTCTGGTTGTCTAAAATTATTCCCAGAGCGACAGCAGTTTTGTCCAAGTGTGGATTGAAAATTGGAGTCTCGTTCTGTGCTGCCTTTGTTTTGTTAATCTGATTTCCTGTAGTCAAGAACTCTTCAATTGACTTGTTCTCATTTGAATACTGGGAAATTTTCTAGCTAAACCTTACTAAGAAATTGCCTGATCAACCTTCTGGTTTGAGCGGAAAAGATTCAAATGCAGGCCCTGAGGTGAAATCTGAGACATATACAATATCTTTCAAAATTGATCTTATCTGTCAAGATATTGGACCATGTTGTTTTGGAGCTAACTTTGAGTCACGATTTAGATGGATTCAACCTGGAAATAGTGATTATATCTTTGGAATGCATGACCATTCATGACTATTACTCAAATTAGTGGAAAGAAATCCTATCTGCTTATTCCAATTAGTGGAAAGAAAAACTCGTCAATTATTTCAATCCTATCTGCTTCTTCATCTCTGTTCCCAAAAGACCAGAGATGAAGGTAATAGAGACAGGTGTTTTTGAAAGACTTGTGAGCAACAGCACTGAAACAAGATCCTTAAATCAAACTGAAAAGCTGAAGACTCCAACTTTATAATTGTATAAGCCTACATAACTGCGCAGTAAGCCTTTTTTCTGAAAAAATCTTATCAAGATTAGCGAATAGGAAATTACAAGCAGAAGATATTGAGCTGGCGTCTAGGTGTCTGGATAACGAAGGAGAATAGTGCATATTGATATTTTAGTGATAGAAAACCACTTGAAACGTTTTTTAGAAAAATAATAGACAATAACAGTAACCCATTTGCTTATCCTTTCTACATTTGACAGTACTACCACATCAATGAACAAAAAAGCTATCTATGGATAGAAATATACAAGAACAGTGGTCAGAATGGCATTTGGATTTGGAGTCCATAATATTGCCAATCAATGAAAAAGATGGGTAGCCAACTCCCTTGTATGTGGTTTATTAAGATTGGTAGTTGATTTTTTTTTTTTTTTTTTGTGACCAGAGATGTCCATACCAGTTTATATATACCTCAACTAATCTCCCAAGACTTTAAAGCAAACAATCGGACAAATCCCTTCAATAATCACTCCTATTAGTATTTGAACGGACTCGAACTCAAACACCCATATTAGATTTCTTTGCTTTTTTACTATAGGTGATGGTTTTGGTAGTTGATTTTATTGTAGACTGTAGCCCCAAGAATTTATTATCTAGTTAGCCAATTTAGGCACTGATATTTAATTTTGCTTTTCTATTATTGCTATTGGACTCTGATTCTAATTTTATGATATACAAATACCTCTTCAATACTTTTTTTTATGAAGATAAGGGGTCAATTTCTTGTTATGATCGCAGCTGCCACGTTTATTCCAGGAACGGAAATTTACAAGTAGTTGTTGTTTTCTATTGGACCTGTTGAGAAAGACAGGCTCTTGACTTGGGTACAGCATGGAATGCCGCATTATAAAAAACAATTTACTTGACTAATTATTATTAACCTGTAAATTGTGTAAAATATTGACATGTGTAAGCAATTTCAAAAACACAATGATGAGAATGATAATATAAAATAAAAAGAAAAGACGTGCATGATTCCCTAGATCAATTTAGAGATAAGATTCTAGCATCACATACTTATCTCCACCAATTTCCCTTTAATTTAAACACGAACAAATTAATTAAAGTGAGAAAAAGAAATTACGAATGAGGTGTGCCTATTGTCACGGGCTAGGAGTTTCACACCCAAAATGCTAACTTGTTAGGTAGAGGGACTCCTCCCATTTATAAGCCCAAGACCTCCCCAATACGCTTTCAATGTGGGATTTGTTACATTCTCCCCCACCCAATCCTGTGACGTCCTCGTCACAGGTGAGGCCCCCTGCCTGCCCATCCACCTCACTCTCGTGTGGACCCACAATCACACGTGGACGCCCCTGCGTGGACGTTTGGTGGGACATCGAAAGACAGATTGGGTCTGCTCTGATACCACTTGTCACGGGTTAGGAGTTTCACACTCAAAAGGCTAACCTGTTAGGTGGAGAGACTCCTCCCATTTATAAGCCCAAAACCTCTCCAATACGCTTTCAATTTGGGATTTGTTACACTATGCCTATCTAAGTGGGGTTGAGTGTTTGGGATGTATTGAAAAGATTAAAAGAGACTTGACATAACTAGCACTTATGGTAGTGTTGTTCTGGATTCCGATAATGGAGAATGACAACATTCATTGACCAAAGCGATGAAGCCTAGCCACCTGTAATGGAGTGTGGTGTGGGTGGCAGTGATTAATGATTATTAAAACAAAAGGGAAGGCGATTGGTTAATCAGAACCACGTGGTCCGTCAGTCACTGTGCTCTACATTGCTGTTGGTTGGGGCGGTCCGCCAAACTGCTGCTCTTGCTATCACTTGTTTTTATTCTTCAACAGTGACACGGCCAGTGAGCACTTCAAGAACATAAAATATATCAGTTCAAAAAAGTAAAAGAGATTGTCTCTAAATTAAATCTACCAAGCACTTTAAATTTCATCCATTCTTCACCCACAGCTCAAACCCTTAAACAATAAAGATTAAAGAAATTGCAATGTATGAGGATGAGATTGTAAGTTTTAGCTTTAGTTGAAGCCATCAAATTAAGTGGGCATTGACTTTGTCCATCAGGGTACTTGTCAACCCTTACACAATTTCAACATCCCTATTTTATGCCAACCATGATTGGCCACTGCGAATTTATGGGTTCTATATATATATTCTTTTCTCAATCGCACAATAAAATACTACAACTTACCTTAATTTAATATTTCAAAGTTAATATTTGTTATGGCTGGAAAAGTAAGGATGACGCAAAATCTTGTCAGTGCAAGTGGCCAGATCTTAGGTTAGTTTAGATGTCGTTCAGGTGCAGCCACGTCACGCGCTGACGCAAGAGGCGTGCTCCTGCCAGTACAGTAGGTGCACGTCAGGTTGGTGAAAGGTTTGAGGTAATTCACGTGTCCAATCCCTGCGAGAATCGAGTAAATCACTCGAATAAGTGAATAACGGGACGCAAGGAAGGATTTGGACGGAAATCTGACCCACTTCCTGATTTAGTAATCATTACCTCAATCCATCACACTATAAATAGAGGGCACTTCTCCCGTTTGTGGGATTAGCAAATTTCTCTTTGCAATAGCACACTTATTTTCTTTTTGTAATCACTTGTAAATCAGCTCGCTGAATGCGACCTGATCTCAATATATTAATACAATATCAGTGGACGTAAGAGTCGCTCGTTTAAGTATCTGAACCACTTTAAACATCGTTCTCCATCTTTTGTCTATTCTCATGCCCCTCATTCGCCTGTGTTCAACTCAACATTTCATACGTGCGTTTAGTTGGTGTCAAAATCACATATCAACAATATTAAACAAAATTACTTATTGAGTATTGTCAATGAATCTTATATCAGATCCTTTTACTATACTTTTTTCTTTATTTTTTATTTTTGTGTGCATAGAATCTTATAATATTTTTATGTCATTTACTTCTTGGCCTTTTATTGGCGCTGAGGAGAGATCACTATAGTGGATTAATTTAATCCTTTTTTTACCTTATCAGATTGCTTCACGTTTCATTTATATTCACCCAAATTATATTAAATTCTGCATATTATTTATTTAGGAAATTTAAAACAACTTTGTTATTTTGTTTCCATTACGAGTTCAACTATATTCTTCCTACCTTTGATATATATTATAATTTTAATGAAAAAAGTTGATATGCCACCGTCTTTTTATTTATTAATATTAATACTTAAACTATACTTTATACATATAAGTTATACTGGCCTATGCTACTCTAGTTGGCCCACCCTCAATTTTTTTTTAAATATTAATATATATAATTTTTGGATTTTAGTCTACCCTAGCAGAAATATTAATAAGCAAAAATATTAATGTATAATTAGTTTCTATTTTGTCATGCCTAACAGAAATTTCTGGATACATGTTGCAGGCTTCCACAAATCTTAAAATTCATTATAAATCTCACAATCATTAAAATACATCATGCTTGCGAGATATATTATACAGTAAGACTTATATATGGTGATACTCTATATAAAAATAATCTTTATGTAATCACTTGAGTTAGTTATAAATAAAAATAAACTCTACATTCTAATAAATTGTAATTTCATTAGATCTCGTCTTAAGGAACTTGCCTCTACATATTAATAATTATCTTATATTATAAAAAAAAATATGTTGAGTTTGTACATTAACTTTGGGTGGCATGGTTGATTTACTAGAGGAATAAGGAAAATGTATCACTTAAATTGAAGATTGCATGGGTTGTGCTATAGTACAATATATTTAAGATGACTTCACATATTCTCAACCATTAGTTTTTTGAAATTATGTTTATCTTTTTTATCAGTATCTACACCTTAGATTTGACATGCTTCATAAATTAATTATTAATGTAGTGCACATTTTACATTTATACCACTTGCATCGACAATAACTAAATCAAAATAATAATTTTTGTAATTATACTTCTATTAAATTATAATCTTCTTATAGTAGTAAAATTAGTATTTATCTCGTTATTATGATTATAGAGAGGTTTTATTTAGATTTGACAAAATGTTGCTCGAACCCGCAGGTAAATGGGTACCCAATCCAAACGGACGGGTACGGATAACACCATTAATTACCCATTTTAATATTATCCATACTCGGCCCACCCGTGAAAAAAAGGGTGGACCGGGCAATACTCACGGGTGCCCGTAGGTACCCGCACTTATTTAAAAAAAAAAAAAAAAAAGCTGGAAAATAGAAAATTTAAAAAGTAAAAACCTTAACTCACTCAATTCTCACTTTCTCACATTTGGTGAACTGCAGGCTGCAGTCTGCAGCAGCCTCACGCTGTCACGTAGCATTTCTCCACCAACATTTCTTCTTGGCCTTGTTGTGGAGGGTCTTCTTGACCTTGGACTCATCTTCTGAAATGGGTTTCTGAAGCTTGAAGTGCAATGAGTCTATGAATCTTGATGACTCTTTCTTCTACTTCCTCGCTTCTTCTAACACCTTGTTTTCAACAAATGAGTCAATAACACTCCACTACAAAGTTTGTGCAACAAATAAGAAAAAGACAAAAAGACCAAGAAAACAAGTTGTTGATGCTTCATTTTGACACCAATGACTCGCACGTACAAAGTGTTAAGAGAGTCTTAGAAATTATACGTGATGGATTCATGAGATTTAAATATAGTGTTAAGATTATATATGTTTGCAGAAACATAAATAAATGATTGACAAGAGAAGTTTTTATAGTGGTTCGGATGCTTAAAGCAAGTCTTACATCCACTGTTATTTTATTATTTTCTGACCATTTCTTTGATATTTTCTGTAAGGCGTACAAAGATGGAGAAATATTTTGTTTACAGAAAGAAATAATGAAACTCAAATGTTTGCTTAACTCTTATTTGCCTACCCCCCTCTTTTAAGAAGAGAGGTGTCAATTTATACACCATTGAGGTCAATGTAATGAGTGATTTTGCAAGTTGCTTGACACATGGAGAGTTCTCATTCATTCTTATTTTAAAATAAGATAGGATTGGTACAAAATATATTTGAGACGGTATGAGCTTGACAGCTAATACATTTTGTCTTTTAAGCACTTATTGAGCTGTCATCAGAGTGATTTTTTTTTTAGGCATAACACAAGTAAATGAGACCTGAAAATAATCGATTTGAGGGTCAAAGCCATAGTCATTGAAGTGTTGAGGCTCGGACATGGGAAAAATGGGAGACTTGTTTGACATTTTTTTCTTCAAAATCCTTTATGCTTTTGCGTGTCTCCTCTACTTTTGTGATAGAAATAAAAAAGGAATGAAAAAGAAGACTCTGGTGCTCAAGATGCCGTTGGTAATGGTAAACCCCAGTAAACTAAATGAAAAAACTTTATTTTTGCATGTGTCATCTGTACCCGTACGAACTGGTACGGATCATACATATTTCTACCCATAAACTCATGCCTGTTTTACCTGTTACTCATAATTATCCGGCCCGCTCGTTTGCCAGATCTAGGTTTACTTGTTATATAGTATATACAAAAAAATAATCTATCTTTAATCAAACACATAAGTTCATGGCAATCTATGGTCTTATTTGATTTATTTGCAATCAAAATATCAAATAATGAATTAATTAGACCTAATTTATGCCTATACTGTTTATTGACCAAAAAAAAAAAAAAAAAAGGAAATTCGTATTAAACTATTGGATCATGCAATTGTGTGGTTGAAATATTTAGCGTATAGAATGTGGCAATAATAAGAACATTCCTTAAAAATTTAACCAGAATTTATTTGCTTATGTGGAAAATTCTTAGCAATAGCTTTGACTTTGACCATTCTTACTAGCCAATTAAGTTCAATTAGTCGGAAACAATAGAAAATTGCAATTAGTGTGGCGTTGAAACCCATGCAGATATAATTGACATTTCATTATAAATATAAATATATAAAATGACGCGACCTTTCATATCATTTCCATTAAGGTTAAGTTAGAGATCAGAATTTCTTGTATAATTTAGTTGATATCAAGAACAGGCGTGCTTCCTACGTAAGATCCACTGATTTTTTTTTTGTTTTTTTTAATAAACCAAAGTCATATCAATTTTTTTACCAGATTATATATGTTTACTTGTTAACTACCGAATAATACAGTAATATATGACCAACCGAGGAAAAAAAAAAAAAAATTCAATTAAAGGATTACTTTAAACAATCATATATTTGATTCTTAATTAAGAAAAGACGAAGAGATTGAAGTAAGAAGATAATTGATTAAGAAGATTTGTTGCAATTTCTCAAGGATACAAGTATCCTCCAATGGGTAATACTACGTTCATAAATGGTTCTTATTAACTTTCTCTTATAAATGCGACATAATAGTTCATAATGTCTTGTTTGTAAGAGAAAATTGACATAATAGTTTGTAATATCTTGTTTGTAAGAGAAAATTAGTGAGAAAAATTTATCAACTTATCTTTATTGATTCTTCGATACCAAGTTAATATGCTTGATTTAAATTAATTAATTAATTTTAACTATAAAATATTTGAATCATTTGATTATGAGTTTAAAACGACCTATGTATTATAGTATTAAAATCATATGAAATATATATTTGTTTTTAGCACTATCATAGTACAGTTATTTAACATAATTTATATGATAAAATCAATATTACATTGTCTAACAATATCATCAAAGACTTTTTTCTTATTGGAACCATAAGTTATAAGCGATAAAATTTGAGGTGGACCTGACACCTCACCTAATAAGGTATTATTAAATAAGAGGATTATATAATCTTATAAATCAATAGACTTGAGCGTGCCTAGTTGGTGTGGGACTCCAACACTCTATCTCACGGTCAAGCCCATATATTGGGCCATGCTTATCATTGGAGATAGTTGTCAGTTCTAACTCCTCATCTACTGGTCAAACACTCAGATATAATTTGAGGCCTCACCCGCTGGTTAAGCGTTTAGCTCAACTGAACCTTGCCTCTGATACCATGAAAGAATTTGAGGTAGATTTGACTTCTTATCCAATAAGGCCTTATTGAATGAGATGATTATCTCATATTATAAACCAATAGGATTAAGCATGCCTAATCGGCGTGGGACTTTAACAATAAGCACTCAAGTTTGCTCTGAACACCACCTTTCAACACAATTTAAAATCCCACATTTTACCCTTTTAAAAAAAATAAATTTGGGTGCATATATAGCCCTACCCAATTAATTAATGCGATAAAAGTATCCAAATTTATTCCACTAACCCTTTTATCTCTTAAAACAATATAAATATAAAACCAAAATCTTACACTTATTATGAAAAAATGGTTAATTAATTTAATTCCACATAATTTACAATTCAGCAATGACACCTTCCTATCACATTAGAAAAATGTAAAGTCGTATATAATTTCATGACACCCAATTTACAATACGAACTTCCAAATAAACCATGTATGAATCACAGATTCATAGTAAAACCGTGTATAATCATAATAAAAATGTGATTATAATGTCTAAATGTGTGTTCATGATAAGTATATCCACTTTCTTATTATATATTATCATGAAAATGAAAACATCCACCTAATTTTAACCAAAAGCTTTCCTTCCAAAAACAAAAAGTAGAAAAGAGGAAGCTCCAGAACCGGCGCGCAATGCGCACACCGTAGCTGCCACGTCAGAGAGAGAAGCGTGCGAGTATTTAGATGAGATACTCTAAATAGATTATTATCATTATTGATATAATTGGCCTCACATGGTGTTTGCTCTGTAGCTCTTCTCTCTCTTTTTCGCTTTGAATTGAATTTGCCTCTCAATTTAACCCAAAACATCAACTCCTTTTAGCGGCGGAGCTCTTCTACCCGCCTTTCACTTGTTTCTCCTTTCTTGGTACGTTTTTTCTCATCTTTTGTTTCATCTCTTTCACAATGTTTGCTAATTATAGCATGTTTGTCTGCTTGCTTGTTTCCAGAGGTTGGTAATGCCGAACGATGCTATGAATGAATTGTGAAAACTCATGTGGTTCAAGTCTCATGTCTCTTTTTTATTTTCTTTTATTTTTTTAATTGTGATGTGTATTCATTTATGTGTCCAGGAAGTCGTTACAAGTTCAAAGTGTTTTTTTTTTTTTTTTTATTGTTCTTTTCTCTGAAGACTCTGTTTTTGATGCTTTGGTGGTCAGAGAAGAGTTATGAGGTTCATGGCCGAAACTTAATTTTACCAAAATACTTTTTATGCGGTTCGATTGACTTCAGATTTCAATCTCAGGAAATTCAGATTCTTTTACAGCCGGCTTCTTTTTGTTTCTTCAATCTTTCGATGATTTCAAGAGTCTTTTTACATCTGGAAAACAGAACTCTGTGGGAAAGTGTAAACGTGGAGCTTAGTTTTCGGAGCTTACGCAACTATGCATTTATCGTTTGTTGTTTCTGTAGCCAGCTGTTTTTCTTTTCCTCTTTGTTTTGTGACCTTCTAGATCATTATATCAGTTACAGTTTAAAGGCTTACGCAACTACAACATGATTTCCATGATATAATAAATCCAATCTGGTCAGATGAGACAAACTGAGTGGTTCTCACGTTCATGAATTTCTGTAAATTCCTCTTTTTAAGATAATCCTTTTTCCAGGAAAGTAGAAACTTTTTAGTTGTTTATGTTATCTGTATCCTTAACTTTACGTTGAAGTATTATAAGCTTTGTTCAAACTAGTTCGATGGATGACTTGCGATGAAGGGCCATCCATGTTATCTAAATTTCTATTAATTCATCTGGTGCCATGCTTCAAGAATTAGCCTCTACTGGAATCTCGTTCCTTTCCCCACTTCTGGATCTTTCCACACACAATAAGAGTTGTCTTACTATTTGTCTTTCGTTTTCTGGTTTTGTTTTCCTCCAATCTACTATATAATTCCAATCAAAATTTTTTCCTTTCATAATTTTTGTTTATGAACCATTTAGTTTCCGTCATCTACCCACCGGAAAATTCAAACCCAAATAAAGAAATTTCATGAGCACCTATAGTTTGGCCTTACTTTTCAGTCACCATGTCCCTAAAAAAATTAATATTTTATGGTAGGTTCCCAACATTGGAATTTCAGTGGGGCAAGTGGTTAAATAGGGGGCTGAGGACAATAAATTCGTGGGTTTAGGTTTTGTGAAATCTGGTTTGATGAATTTATGCAAGGCCTAATTTTGTGCTTCTGGGACCTGCCATATCTTGTTCTGTAATTAGAAGAGAAGATAAATCAGTTTTATCTATGTCCTGTATATAATTCAACTTCCTAGATTAGTCTATTTCTTAGGATTTTGAATAAGCGTTCAAGAATTTACCAGAGATTCAAGTAAAATGTTTTGATGTACCATTCTACTTTGATCGGTATTCTGGTTTCTCTAATGGTTAGAAAAGTCAGTTATACTATTCTTTTAAAATTATTATTATTATTTCTTTTACACTTAAGATGGAGGAAATGGGATTTTTTCCTAACTTGGTCAGATCGACACTGATACTTTTCTCAAAGGACAAAATTATATCATTTCTGAATTTTTTTAAATACCTTGTACTGATTTCTCTATAAAGTTACAGGATTGTTGCATTGGGGCGATGTGAAACTTTCTAGAAGAATCAAATATAAAAGATTAATCTTAACTTCTTCAATTTAACATATATTGGTTTTTAGGCAAGTTGTGATAATGTAATAATTCATTATAATTTGAATGGAGATGAAATACTGGGACCCATGTATTCATTATTTTATCTAGTTTAGGTAGTGGTGGAAGGGGATCTGTCTTTTTGTGTTTGGTCCCTTTCTATTAAGCACACCAAGCCATCTTTGTAGCTTCTTAAAATGCTGGTTGGTTCATTGATTATTGTTCCTCCTTGCTAAAGATATTTGGTAAGGTTGTTTTGGTTGCAAAGTTATTAATATCTGAATCGATTGTTCTGTTATGTTTATGTTTTCAGATTTAAGTGGTGGAGGAAAACACCTTGTGAAACACAGATAGGATGGCAATAGAATATTACTTCGAAGAGGCTGTGGCTCAAAATGATTTCAATAGAGAGGATAAATCTTCCCTGGAGAAGTGTAAATCTACCTCAGATGCAGCGGCGGACTCTGATGATGGTTTTGGTGGTTTTGACTGCAACATCTGTCTGGATTCTGTGCAAGAACCTGTTGTAACACTCTGTGGTCACTTATACTGTTGGCCCTGCATTTACAAATGGCTTCATTTCCAGAATGTATCTACTGAGGATGAAGACCAGAAACAGCAGCAATGTCCTGTATGCAAATCTGAAGTTTCTCCTGACACCCTTGTTCCACTTTACGGCCGGGGACAGACTGTGAGGCCCCCCACGGGCAAGTCCCCTCATCTTGGTATAGTCATTCCACGGAGGCCACTTGGTCCTGCTTGTGGGATTGACTCTCCAAGATCGCCTGGTACCACCATGAATCCACGCTTAATGCCACACCTTCACTATCACAATCAACAACATCAATCACAGCTACACTACCCACAACCAGGAGGTTATCTAGCTTCGCCTACACAGAGCTCAGGTGGCATGGCAACAAGCATGATCGATCCAGTGATTGGAATGTTTGGTGAAATGGTTTATGCAAGGATGTTTGGGAACTCGATAACCAATATGTATACATATCCAAACTCATATCATCTTGCAGGAAGCACTAGTCCTAGGATGAGAAGGCACATAATGCAGGTTGATAGGTCACTAAACAGAATATGTTTTTTTCTTTTGTGTTGCACAATTTTGTGTCTTCTTCTGTTCTGATATAATTATCTCTTCTTTGTTGTCCATTATATACATGTAAAAATTACGAGTACGTGAATATGGGCGCTTCAGCCAGCGTATTAGTTGGTAGAGATATTCCTCGTGCTTCTGTGAGATATGTAATTATGAGCCCTCTTTTTTGATTTATGAAACAGCTTATTAATGTATCTGTTAATTGTGTTGCTTGGAATTGGTTTGCTTGTTAAAATGAGATTAAGTTTCAAAAGTTCCTCAGTCACAGCCAGCGGTATGTTAAAAGTAAAAGCAGTTAGGTTGACCATATAAACAAGCGGAACCAAATTATGGACGGCATTGTTCCTGAATTGTAGGGATTAGGATTACCAAAAAAGTCAAAAGTTTATATTTGAAGAAATGTCTTGCGTACGCTGTCAAGTGGAGCTGGAGCCATCAACAATTTATTAGAAGAGAAATGCACCACTCACTTTTTTTAAATAGATGCATTGGCGGTGGATCTTGGTCCTGGGCATTGCGTTAAGACTTAAAACAGGTTGCCCTTCTCTATCAATTTGTGGGCACCAGCAATGACCTGTAGTCCTAATTAAGAGTTTTGACAAGTCTTTCAGCTGCCTTTATTGAGCAGATATGGCTGCCCTGCAAGAAAGTTATATTAACATCAATGACACAGATTGACGATTATCTTGTGTAATTTCAACACGTTAACCATGTGGTCCGAAACATAGACGTTGTTACTATTAAATTGAGGGGACCCCTTATGAAGAAGAAGAAAATGATTGAAAACGTTTCTTAGGGATAAATGCTTATCATGTCCCACATACGTACCCCTACTTATTACGGTTTTAATACATAAATCTTATCAGATTATCTCTTCCCGGACGCTGGGTCATCTTTTCCATTTACCTACTGCTTCGGCGTCACTCGTATACAAACTTATAATAATAAATGTTGGTCATGACTTAAAGTTTGCAATTCATTCAACGCTCATATTTCACCACACCTCCTATTATTTACAGTATATATGTTAATATTTTGACGATCAAACATCTAATCTGTTAGAAACCAAACATGGTGTCAATGTGGCTGCCAGAAATGTGAAAAGGATGAAGCAATTCACCATACTTGAAATATGTCGATGAGACAAGTTCAATATTCCTATGGCATTAGCACCATTTCTCATGCCAAATTAATTACTCACACACAGCATGGAAAATCAATATAATTAATGGACAATATTATCATATGCATAAGGCAGTGTTTTCCTTGCATTGTGGAAAATAAATATGGCGGACAAATTCAAGAGGGGAGACCAATTCAAATTCAGATAATTGATTCTCTTGAAAGATAATACAATATTTTTTTAGTAAGTCACTGTACAAATGATTCAGCTGCTTCATTCATCCTTTGACTCAATGATTTCATACGCTTCCCCATCAACAATCTGTTCCTCTGTTTCCATCTCATCAAGGGCTTGGGCACCAAGACTTTCATTGTTAGTAGTACTAACTAATTTATCATGAATATGTCCTACGGATTCACCCCTTTTTTTGAGTAATTTCAAAAACTCCTCTGCTGCTTCCATATCTCCCTGTTGTCTTGAATACTCATGACATGCTGCCAAAGTAAATTGGTTGGGCTTCCACCCTGGTTGACTTACCAAGATTGCTCTCCTCATAGTCTCCACTGACTTTGCCATCTGACCATGAACATGGTATCCTGTTGCCAGACGATCCCATAAGGTTGATTCAGGCACCTTTCCACTCTCTATAAGCCTGTTTACATATGCTTCAGCCTTTCCCAAAAGACCCTTTCTGCAATAACCACTGATAACAATATTTGGTACCCGAACATCAAAAACTGTATCTGCAGATTCCCACTCCTCCAAGATCTTCTCTGCACCATCAATGTCCTCCAATTTCATCAGAGAGCTTATAATGCACACATAGCCTGAGTTGTAGACTTTTCCTATATTCTTATACAAATTCCATATACGACACACTTCATGTTTATTACCAGTAGAAGCATATACAGTAATCAGAACTTCATAAGCAAACTGTCTCATTCTACTTCTACCAGTAATTAGAGGCTCTGACCTCTTCAGCATTGTCCAACACTTTTCAATTAAGCCAGCTTTCAAGTACCAATTAGCTGCAACAGTATATGCATTCCAATTCATTTTGAAATCATGAGCAACTTCCATCTTCATTAGAAGTTTCTCCATTCCCTCTAAGTCGGAAGTGGCACCATAAGCATTCAACCTAATGTTGAATGTATACTTGTCAAAATTGACGCCCTTTGCTTCCATCTCTTGCATTACAATGTCTAATTTCTCATGTTTCCCCAGCTGAGCATAGAGGCTTAACATTACATTATACGGAAGCGATGTCTTTGCAAATCCTAACTCCCTTATCTTATCCATGATTTCCTCTGCTTTCTCCAAGGATTTATTGTAAGCATAGCAATTTAATAGGGCACCATAAAGCTGGGAAACTCTTAAATCTTGAGGAATACTATTAAAATATTTCTCTGCTTGTTCTAAGCCATGAACTTTCGATATCAAATCCAGCCGAATGGCTATATCTCCATTTGATAGATTATGGTTCCTTTGCTCACTCATCCATTCTGATATCTAACACAAAAATTTAACATAACTTCGGGGTATTACTATTTAGACACTATAAAAAGTAAAATTTTACTCTCAAAGGCGATTAAATAGACAAAATCACCAGCCTACCCGACACTCAAAGTCAAAAGATGAAAAATTAGTTGTAAATTAGAATCAATCTCTGCAAAAAGTAAACGAGAAAACGTGAATTGAGGGGAGGGAAAAAAAAAAAAACCTGGAGAGCCTGGCCGAAGCGGCGGTATTTGCGAAGCTGTTTGATGAAGCCTTGGAGTTCAGACTGCTTGACATGTCTTCCTTGCTCAAGCCATTGATCGAGGATTGTTCCCATTGAAGAAGTAGGGTTTCCGGACCTTGAGATCCTAAGTTGGAGAGAGTCGATGGGATCAGGAGATGAAGTGGTAGTGGAGAAGGAACGGCCCCAGAAAGCAAAAACTCTTGAAATGCCATTACGAAAATATGAATGCCTTCCAGTTAGAAGAAGCTTCATAGTCTGAGAGAATTGAATGAAATTGAAATGGAAGGCGTCGACTGTGTTTAAAAGTTGAGAGGTTTAGGGTTTGTAAAAGAATGATTGAACCCAAATTATTTTGGAAATACGATGTATGTATAGCATTATTTGGTTGGAGTGAAATGATTTTATAATAACAATAATATTATATTTATACAAAGATTTTCATACAGAGGTGATAAAAAATGAATGGAAGAGTGAAACAAAAAGTCAAACTCATTAAATTCATTCTTCTATTCATTTTTTATCACATTATTTTGTATGAATATCTTTATAAAATTTATTTATAAGTGTAGTATTACTCTTATAATAACAACTGTTAATTAGAATTTTTGTTCTATTTCTTCATAGATTTTGAGTGATTGTCAATTTTTAAATCCTGGAAAATTAATTGAGATATATGCAGTTTGAAACATCTCGTAAAAAAAAAAAATTTATAATCTTTTCTTAATTCTAAATGTTACCATTTTTAGATTCTAAAATGTCATTACAAAAAATATTTCTCAAATGCTTCTCTTTAAAACCCTCAAAATAATTTCATAAATTCATATTATAATATACAATTACAAATTTTGAAGTTAAGAATAACATGATATATCCTAAAAGGTGAATTTATAAATAAATCAATAAAAACTTGAGAGAATTAAGGTCAAAAATTATTTTTTAAATTTAAATTTTCAAAATTAATACTTCAACAAGAGAGGTAATGTAATTGGAGAATGGGAAAAAAGAATATTAGAGGAAAAAGGGTATTTTAATAAAAAAATATTATATACGCTTTAATTTTTTTTTTTCTTTAAAAAAAAAAAAAAATTTAGCCAGATTTTAGATGAACTTAAATAAAATATATTGCACTAATTTATCTACCAAGTAAAATTCTTCATCTTCAAATAACTAATTAACGAATATATCTAATTAACATAAACACAATCAAGATATTTAAAGATCAGTTAATATTATGATAATGCAATCTTAATCAAGATATTCAAATTCCGTTTCAATCTCAAAAGAATCGCTTTGTGTATATCCAAAATATTTCCCTTTTAAGTTGAAGCCATTTACTCTCCATTATAAATACAAAACGCTCCCTTCTCTCTTCATGCAAAACAGCATGAAGTCTTCTTCTTTGTTTAGTTTGGTTCTTGCTTTCTTGGCCATTGTTTACGTTTCAAATGCATTAAAAGTTGACTGCACTGACGATGCAAATTTAGATTGCAGCGATGGATTTGACACGGGAGGATTGAGCAGGAAGGCTTTTCCACAGGTGTTTCAGTTTGGAACTGCAACTTCTGCATATCAAGTTGAAGGCATGGCCTCTAAGGACGGAAGAGGACCCAGCATTTGGGATCCTTACGTTCAAGTTCCAGGTAAATATATAAAAAACAAAATATAACTCTTTTAATTCTTGTTTTTAGGAAAGTTAATTTTATGGAAGTTGATATTCTTCAGTTCTTCATTTTACTTATTTGTTGGTTTGTTTGGTATAAAAAGGACATATTAAAGGCAATGCCACTGGTGAAGTTAGCGTTGATCAGTATCACCATTACAAGGTATGCTTTCGATGAAGTTACTGTCAGGCATTGAAAACTGTAAATTACTATTTACTTTTTTCAATAATATTAAGATCTATTCTGTCAATATAAAGATGAAAAATTCAATTTTGAATTAATCAGATATTATAATTGTTACAGTTGGTCAGTATTGAAAATTGTAAAATTTTTGTCCACATTTTCTAATAATATGTTGATGTATTCTGTCAATATAAAGATGAATGATAAAATTTTGAATTGATGAGATACTATAATGTGTTACAGGAAGATATTGACCTCATGGTAAAGCTTAATTTTGATGCATACCGGTTTTCAATTTCCTGGTCCAGGATCTTCCCAAGTAAGTTTAGTATATTTTTTAACATTGAGATTTGTTTAAAATTTTGAATTCTTAATAACTTGATTGATTTTTGAAATTTCTATATTCTTTCAGAGGGAACTGGGGAAGTGAATCAGCTGGGAATTGATTACTACAATAGATTGATTGACTACATGCTTGAGAGAGGTAAAGAAATTGCCAATTAACTCTTGCAAATAAATGTAAATAATTTGTTCTATGAAATCTAATGTTGAGTTTCTTGTATAGGGATTACTCCATACGCAAATCTTTATCATTATGATATGCCATTAGCTCTTCAGGAAAAGTATAATGGTTTGCTGCGTTGTGATGTTGTGTAAGTATCTTTTTTTTATATGAACATTTGGATGATCTGTGTTCATAATTATAAAATCTTATAGGAAGTAATTGAACCAAACCAAAATTTTCAGGAAGGACTATGCGGATTATGCAGACTTTTGCTTCAAAACATTTGGGGACAGAGTTAAGAACTGGTTCACATTTAATGAACCAAGAGTTATTGCAGCTCTCGGTTTCGATAATGGCTTAAATCCTCCTTCAAGGTGTTCGAAAGAAGTTGGAAATTGTACTGCTGGAGACTCCGGAACTGAACCTTATATTGCTGCACATAATATGATTTTAGCTCATGCGGCTGCAGTTGAAAGATATCGCGAAAATTACCAAGTAAGATCTTTATCCTTCTTGATCTTCAAGTCATTTTTAAATGTAAATGGTATGTTTCTAACAGATAAATGTGTATTTGTATTTTCTCAGAAAGAACAAGGTGGAAGGATTGGAATTCTCTTGGATTTTGTTTGGTATGAACCTCTGACTAGATCAAAAGCTGACAATTATGCAGCTCAAAGAGCAAGAGATTTCCACATTGGATGGTAAATTAATGTTCCATCTTTAAATACTAATTCAACTGAAATGTTTTACAAACAAATTCAACAGAATTTACTCTTAATTTGCAGGTTTTTGCATCCGATTACATATGGCGAGTATCCGAGAACAATGCAAGAACTTGTTAAAGACAGGCTTCCAAAGTTTACAGAAGCAGAAGTTCAAATGGTGAAGGGTTCCATTGATTATGTTGGTATTAATGTGTATACTGGCTACTACATGATGGATCCTCCATGGCCTCAGTCCAACATCACAAGTTATCAGAATGATTGGAATGTCGGTTTCTCTTGTAAGCCTCTTGCCAGATACATCTCTTGCTTATTGTTTCTGAAATCATTTGTTTTTGTCATCTAATTTTGGTACAAATTTTGCAGTTGAACGCCACGGAAAGCCAGTCGGTCCATTGGTAAATCATTATTGAAAATATTTGGCATGTTGCTTAAAAGGATTAATCTTGTTTTTGATGCATCAGTTTTAAAAATAACTTCATTTCAAAACATTTGCAGGCATATTCTGGGTGGCTTTATATTGTACCTTGGAGTATGTATAAGTGTTTGACATATGTAAAAGAGCATTATGGAAACCCAACCATGATTCTTTCGGAAAATGGTATGGACCAACCAGGCAATACGACATTCCCAGAAGTATTACATGACAACATAAGGATAAATTACTACAAAGACTATATATCATCTATGAAGAAGGCTATCGCTGATGGAGCTAATGTTATCGGCTACTTTGCCTGGTCGTTGCTTGACAATTTTGAATGGGTGTCAGGATATACTTCTCGATTTGGCATTGTCTATGTTGACTACGATACTCTTAAGAGGTATCCGAAGATGTCTGCATATTGGTTCCAGCAATGGCTAAAAAAGGATTAATAAGGGTGTGATTGTGCTTAGATTTTTTAGTTTTGAGTTATTGGTTTAGAAGAGTGTTATCTTTAGGAAGTTGTAGATTTGTTAATGTTTCAATTTCTGCATTAATAATTTTGTTGATGAACTCCTTTCTCTAATGAAAAATCGTTCTATATTAATTTCCTTTCTTGAGTAAATCTCTCCCTCTGCAATTTATTTTTTCAGAATTCTCAAACGTATAAGAAAAGAATTTGCTATAATCTAATACTGTTGATCAGACTCAAAGGCCTTATTTTATTTGAAACTTGCTACATCTTTCATTGCTCCGTCTTTCAATGGTGTCTTCTGTACCTTGACTGCTGCAGAAACTTTAACTTCAATCGACGAAGGGGGTGCAATATTCCACCTATGAACCCAATAATTAACCTGAAAACCGATCCAGCAATGAGTACATAACCAAGCTCCTGGTTAGAGGATTCCTTTGTTACAGGAAGATCTATTGTTGTCGGTCAAATAGGACATAAGCGCCCTGAAATATAAACACACAATCCAGGATTGCCTTCAAAGCTGGAGTTTGGAAAAGTATCAAACTGACCTGTCCTTGAAGATTGCTTTCTGCAACGCTGAAATAAGACAAGAAATGTAGATTCCTCAATGAAGCAGGAATTTCACCAGACAGCTGATTACTGATAGATCCAATATCTTTAAGTTAGTGAGTTGAGATAATTGGTCAGGAATGTTGCCTGAGAATTTGTTATGGCTGAGATCAAGCACGTGAAGAATCTTTAATTGACCAATCTCAGTTGGGATACTGCCACTGAGGCTGTTGTTTAACAGGTATAAGGCTGGTGTAGGTTAGAAAGTTGGTTATACTGCATAGGTGTAGTATTGTTCGGAAGAATATAGACAGGCAACTCTAAATACATTCTGTCAACTTTTTCACTAACCTCTGCTGATCTCAACATCTTCAATCAGCTGAGTTTCGGTTGTGAGACAAGTCTATGTAGAATAGCCTAAGCATTCTGGAATTGAACCACTGATTTTATTTACTGATAAGCCCCAAGACCTGTAAATTTTTTAGCTAAGGCTGGGATTGACCACAGAGTCGGCAACCACTTAAACCCAAAACCTCTGAATTCCATCTGGGGATCATGTGGTCATCGTCCGGCATCGCTTCATCAATGATGTTTCTGGAAAGGTGGGTGAGATGTGTGAGGTTGGCAATAGAAGGAGAGATGGTGGCAGTAAGACCTCTCCGGGGGAGCCATAGATGAGTTACATGGCCATTTGCATCGCATTTGACATTCCGAGGCAGCATCAATGGAAGAAGAACAATTCAATGGAGGGGAGGATGAGTTGAAGTTGAGAGACAGAGAGAATGCATACTAGTTAGTTGCAGGCTTGTTGAAGAGATGAAAAGCAGGGAAGGAAGAGTGATAATGCAGCAAAATGTAAAGCCAAGTGAAGCATTTTCTCTTCTGATAGGTTTTGTTATTCGAAATAGAAGAAAACAAAATAAAGAAGGCTGGCAATTGCTATTTGAGCTAACCACAATGTAATAAAATTCAGAACCCATTGGCCCAAAGGTTTTGAAATCCAAACTAAACTATTTTTTTTCTTCTTGATGGTGGACATTTTGAAAATTTTTATTATTGAAAAATAGATTACCTGAGATAAATTATTTGAAGATTAAGATGTATGTATATTATAATGTTGGTTAAATTGATGAGTATAAATAATTAATATGTTTGATTGGAGAATAAAAATCTGGGAGAGCTTTTGTTATTTTTTAAATTTGACAATATATCAGGTGAATTCTAAGTTCTTGTAAATTTGAAGTGATGTTGAAGTAATATATTTGGGTATATTTTGATATTATATTCAAATTAATTGTCAAGGCATCATTTACTTGAAAAATGAAATGATATTTTGGTAAAATTTGAGTCAATTATGGCAAATTGCTGGTTGTGATGATGATGTGGCTTGAAATTGCCACGGTGGAGTCAACATCAGTCAAAGAAATCAGATTCAAACCTAAGCTAATGCTGCGTCGTTTTGGCTATCAAACTTAAGTGCCCTATTGGCACTCGAACCCATTCTGTTGCAACAAAAATCACAGCTACCCCTCTTTGTCTCTGGTCCCATTTCGCCTAGTTCTTCGTTCATGACAGAAGATTCTTGTGCTCACCTTTTCCAACGAATTGCAGATCATACTGGACAGCTGGAGGATAATCACAGGATCCTGATGTGTATAAAATCAGACCATTATGTGCAAGAGACAGACATAGTAGTGAGAGGGCTGGGTGTGTTCTTACTTGTTTTTTTCTGGTTGTTTACTCTCTGTAATCTTGGTTCTCTTGATTAATGAAATACCCTTAGTGTGCCTTGAAGAGTGGATGTAGGTACCTTAGCCGAACCACTATAAATGCCCTGTGTCTATTTCTTCTTCTGCTCTCATGCTTTACTTAATCTCTGAATCGATTGCTTGTGATTGATAAGATTGTGTTAGCTCATTGATTGATTTGATTAGCACAGCTGAAAACCCTAATTCACTACAAATTGGTAAAGAGCCTAGTTCGAATCTGAATTAGGGTTTTTTGAAATTTATTTTCTGTCGTTGCAAATCTTATTCCAAAAACATGTCCACTAAATTTGAACTCGAAAAGTTACAGGGACAATGATTTTGGACTCTGGAAGATCAAAATGAGCTGTGCTGATTAAAGAAGGACTGGCTTTAGCTTTGAAAGGGGAATCTGAGCTGCTTGAAACCTTGACTGAAGCTGAGAAGCAAGATGTACTCAACAAAGCTAAGAGCTCCTTGATTTAGACTAGGTGACAAAGTCCTGCGAGAAGTGAAGAAGGAGAAAATTGCTACTGAGATCTGGAACAGGTTAGACTCTCTGTACAATCTAAAGCTGTTCCAACGTTGTATTTAAAACAAGACTGTTGGGTTTAAAATGGATGAGTAGAAATCTTTAAAAGACATAAGGATGATTTTTTGAAACTTATACGGATTTGGAAAGCATACAGTAGGGTTGGTAAAGAAGATCAGGCTGTAATTCTTCTAAATTCCCTACCTAAACCTTACTCCAATTTTGTAGAAACATAAAATATGGTAGGCGACACCAAAATTAGAAGAGGTTATAGAAGCAATCAGCTAAGGATAGAGAGAACATAATGACATTAGGCAGTGATAGGGAAGGTCTCATGGTAAGGGGTAGATCAGAGAAGAGAAACTGAAAAAAAGGGGACCAAATAGGAATAGATCTAAGTCCAAAACTAGGAAATGGAAGTGCTTCTTCTATCACAGAATGACATCTAGAGAGACTGTCTTGAGGGAAAAATAAGAAGAAGTATGGAAAGGAGGAAGAAGAAGGCAGTGCTGGTGTTGTGTCTGAAGGTTATGAAAGTTCAGAGGTATTAGTCATTGAAGGTAGAAACAGTGAGGAATGGATCTTAGACACAGGATGTACCTGCACATGACACAAATAGGGAGTGGTTTAGCTCTTTTCAATTGTAGATGGTGGAAAGGTTGTGATGGGAAATAATGCTATGTGGCTTAAGGGCATAGGTACTGTTAAGTTGAGCCTTCCATGGCCTAACCAAAACTCTCACCGATGTAAGATACATTACTGACCTCAAGAGGAATTAATATCCTAGACACCCTAGACTCAATAGGACTAAGTTACAAAGACTCAAGTGGAGTCTTAGTGTAATAAAGGGTCATTAGTAATGATGAAAGGTGAAAAGAAAAATGGTCTCTATGTGTTAAAGGTGGGATGAGGCGAGCCGAGCTGCTCGCGAGCTATCAAGCTCGGCTCCAGTCGAGCTCTAGCTCGGCTCGAAATCAGGCGAGTTGAGCTCAGCTCAAGCAGCTCGTGATAGTGACGAGCCGAGTTCGATCCGGGCCGAGCTCGGTCGTCACTATTCACGAGCTTAAACGAGTCAGGGGAATTTGCAAGATTTTAAAACTTTTTTAATTTTTAAGTTGTTAAAATTGCAAATAGTCCCATATAGACAAAAACGAGAAGTAAAACCCATTGCAATTTCAATCAAGCTGAAACAAAAACTGAAAAAGTAAAACACAGTCACGATTTTTCATCAACCCTAAGTCCTAAATCTCCACTGCCATTCGCGGTAATCAGTCACTCACGACTCACGAGTCACGCCGTCGTGGGACAAGTTCGCGGTGTCATTCGCTGTCATCGAGTCAGCGTCATCTTGTTCTCTGTAGAGTGCAGACCAGTGTTTTGTTCCAGCAATCCAGCCTTCCAGGTAAGAAATTTGCTCTGTTAGTTGTGAGTTATCTTCTCTTGTTTCATCTTTATGTCTACAACAAACATTTAGATGCAAATGTTATTGGATTAGCTGGTATAATCAGGGTACGAATTTCTAAATCATGATTCAAAATTGTACTCTACTTTAGGGTTTGACATTGTGTTAAATTTCTGGATAGAAGGTAATTTGGAGCCCGATGAATGGCGATGATAGTCCATACAATGTTTCTGGATTACGTTTAACAAAGACTCATTAGGTTGTTTGTTATTGAACTTGGGGCTCAAAAAATGTAGTTTCTGAAAAGATGCAGCCTCTGAATGTAGTTAGTACTCTGATATTTATCTTAATGATGGCTTTTTAGTGATTGTCCTATAGGAGCTATGTTGAAGTGCAAGCTTTTGATACAAGTGAACTAGGGTAAGGTTACCATATACAATTTTTCTAATTTCTAATAAGGCAACTACTAATCAACAATTTTTTCTAATAAGTACGTAATGTATCAGTATAACATCAAAAGTGGAGCCAGATTATTTGGAAAAAGTTAGAAAATATGAAAATGGAATTCATTAATGTTGACACTGCCGTAAAATAATAGGTGCTAAATTAAGAATAGTATAGTTGAAGCAAGAACTGGTATAGTCCTCAGAATTGTCAAACAAATACACCTTAAGACTAGTATAGTGAAGCAAGAACTAAGTTTGTGGGAAGCTTGTATAAACATAATATAGCAGCCAGGCCGACACTCT